TCGATTGATTGATTGACTGATCGATTGATGGATTGACGGCTTAATTGACTGACTGATTGATTGACTTACTGATTGATTGACTGCTTAATAGACTGACTAACCGAATCATTGATTGATTGACTGACTGATTGATTGATTGACGTGGAGCCCTAACCATAAAAGCTAGGAAATTGAATTTTTCGCAATAGGCGAAAATGGAAGAAAAACCCGATCGGAAAATGCGTGAAAAATGTCGAATGAAATTTGAAATTGTTTGTTGGTTCAATCGATCAGCTTCAAGCTGACTTTCAAATATTTTTGTCTCTATTGACAAATGGAAAATATCGTCATTGGCAATATCTTAGGAATTTTTACAATCATGTTGGGAGATCATTTCTGAATCACCCAGAATAACGGTTTAAATAAACAAACTCAAATCCAACTGAATCAATAAGAGAGCACAAAATTTATATAAGCTAAACGATTATTTGTTCAATAATTGTTTCAAGCTCTGTTTGTTTTTTTTTTGGGGGTTTGTAAAACGATTTGATCAATGACATATTCGAGCCACATTTATATACATATAGACGTATTGCTCTGCAAAGTTGAGATAAGGTCGAGGTTAGGAGGTTAAGTTCGAAGATTTCTTCAAGTACGTTAAGTTCAATTTGAGTTTAAGTCAGTTTAACAAGTTTTTGGTTTAGTTCATTTTGAGGTTAGATTGAACCTAAGACTAGATTAATGAGAATGAAATGTATTTTCTATATAGAAAACGACAGTTTTCAGTTTCATTCAAGAAACGATCAACATTTGTCGCTCAAAATAAGAGCTAAGGCGAACCAGTTGAGTTTTAAATTGAGGTTAGGTTAGGTTAGTTTGAGGTTAAGTTGAACGTAAGACCAACTCAAGCAAGGCTTCACATCAGCACTTTACACAATTTAACATTTTATATATTTGATTTACATATTCATTTATTTTTCAATGCTATTGCGTTCAGCCGTAGATTAATTTAAATGTATTGCCAAAGTAATCAATCTGTAGTTAACCTCTAGCTCTCCATTTCAGCAGGGCGATAACGGTGTCTGACACACATATGTACGCACGCACACACACACAGACACACACGTACATTTGCCTGAATGATACAGTAAACAGTTGTTTATGCGAAATAGCCGTACTTAAGCGCTTGACCCCCACAAAGTATTTGCAAGCTAATGACATTTAAGCTAAAGATTCGATCAATTTTCATAGTTGTTGTTTGCGTCTCTCTCTCTCTCTCTCTCGCGGTCGTCATCTCTGTCAGTGCCTGTCCCTGAAGGCGCCCAACGAGCCGCGGCGACCCCACCGCAAGAAATAACAGACAAACGCACACATACGCATGCGTGCATACATGCAAAGCTAGACATTGTTATATGCATACATCCACATATACATATACATTTATGTATGTACTTTGGCACTCAATTGAGCGGCCATTAGCAAGGCAACAACAACAACAACAACAGCAACAAATATGATCATGAAGCGCATATGAAGACAATTTTTAAGATTACAACAACAAGAACAACAACAACAGCGCCAGGCAATGACAATAGAATATAAAGTGGATGGCAGGCAGGAGAGCAGCAGAGCAGGAGAGCAGGCCAGCTCCTCGCTCAATAAGCGCGACATGAGAGCGGCCGCGTATGTCCGAGCGAGAGGGCAAGTGGAGCTCATACATAGCTATTGTTGTTGTTGTTGCTGTTGTTGCTGCTGCTGCTGGTGTGGGAGATAGCGAACGATGAGCGACGACATCGCACGAGTGCACACACTCGACGCCTGACGGACAGACGCAGAGACGTTCACAGTATTGATACACACACACACACACGCGCACACACGTACTCACAACAGCAGTAGCTCATACATATGTATTTATTTATTTCGCTCAGCTCGTTTGCCTGTTCGTTTATTATTATTTTTGTTTTTTTTTTTTTTTTTTTTTTACAACTCGAACAACGATAATAATAATAATAAGCAACAGCAGCAAACGTCAGTAGCTGGCACGCAAATAATTTATTTATAATTTGTATATCTGTTAACTTGCATTCAAATACACACACACACACACATACACATACACGTATGTATATGTGTGAGCAGGCACAAAGCTTGCACATTCGGCAGCTTGCATATGGCGGCAACTTTGGCAACATGTTGCTGTGCATGCAATCTGTTGTGCGTGTGTGTGTGTGTGTGTGTGTGTGTGTGTGTGTGTGTGTGTGTGTGGGTGAGACCAACTCCAGCACACAACACACACACACACAGATGTTGGACTGAGGCCTGGACCTGCATATTAATCGAACTGTTTTCAATCGCAGCGCATAAAATAAATTGACGTTCCAGGCTGAATTTGCCCTTCTCTTCCTCTTATTCTGCTGCGCTGCTGTTGTTGCTTCTTCTGCTTAGGTAGGTAGTCGCCACTCTACAGCAATGGCGACCGATGTCGGGACATGCACACACACGCACACACACACGCATACACATAAATACATATTTAGTTTTATTCCCGCATGTATGTATGTATGTATGTGTAAGCATGCATATGTTTGTATGTATATGTGCATGCATGTCTACAATGCAGCGGCCGCGACGGCGTTTGTTATCGCCTTGGCAGGAAATGGAATTATATTCGTAAAAAGTGGTCGCTGCCTGGACGGACTAACTGACTGTCCCGTTCCATTCCATTTCGTTGCGTCCCAGCTTGCCCCTTGGCCTTGCAGTCAATGTATGTATGTACATATGTATGTATGTACATATGTACATGTGTCTAAATAAGTGTGGGTCTGTGTGAAGCTGAAACGTAATATGATTACGAAGCGCTGAGGATTTGATATAACAAACTAAGCATTTTGCTTTTGGGCGCAAGCAGCAGCAGCAGCAGCAACAGCAACAACAAATTAACCAGCCAAGCAGGCAAGCAACAACAACCATAAAGAGAGCTGTGCATATAAATTTCATAATAAAAGTAACGAAACAACAACAGCAACAACAACAACAACAACAACAACAGTAACAGCTACTACGAGACAACGACGACGAAATCAAAAGTTATGCGAAAAAGTGAATTTCAGTTGAGCAGCAGCTTCATCCACCTGACAACAACAACAAAAAGTGAACGCATTTTGCGCACAAGCACACACACAGACACACAACATGCAAAGCAGTAGAAGCAGCTGAGCAGTAAAAATGCTCAAATGAGTCGAGTATGCCCGACTAGTAGATGACCTGTAGCTGACAAGCGACTTAAAAACGTACTTTAGTTTTTGTAATACAGAAAAAACAAACAAAAAGCAAATCAATCCAGACTATATATACACATATATATATATATATATATATATGTATGTATAGGTTTATGCTTTGCCTATTACATGCATAACATGCATTTGCGCCACTTCAATATACCCTTTAACACAATTATGCTGCATAAAAACTTGAGCAAACGTGTTTGCTGCTGCTCAAGTGCATATCTTAACGGACAAACTTGTCGCCTGGGCGACAGAAGCAGCGACCGCAAGAAAAATAAAAGCACAACAAGCGCTAGCAGCAGCAGCGACGGCGGCGGCGGCAGCGCTGGCTGATCGCTTGTTGCAGCAGTTTCAGTTTCAGTTAGGTATGCATGCATATATGTATGTGTGTGTGTGTGTGTGTGTGTGTGTGTGTGTGTGTGCTGCGCCCTTTCGCTTTCGGCAGCAATTTTGTTGCTATTGCCTTTGCCTACTGCTGCTGCTGCCGTTGCAGTTGTCGAAGAAGAAAAAAAAAACTGCTGCGTAATGCCAGGCGATTGCGATTATGAAAAAAAAAACCAAATAAATTTCCACTGGAATTGCAATAATAATCGCTGGCAATCGCCGCGAGCAGCGCTCAATAATCGATAACACAACAAATACTTGCGTGCAGAGCCAAAGTTCAGGCAATCAAAAAGAAAACACACGAAAAACAGAAAACAAAACAAGAAAAAGAAGCAAAAAAATAAAAAAAAAAAACAAAAGCTTTGCAACTTTTATCGGACATCAACCTGTGACAAATGTCTCCGTACGGCTCTGTATGTGTGTGTGTGTTGGTGTGTGCGTGTGTGTGTGTGTGTGTGTTGGTAAGTTGTTTATTGTTGCTGCTCGTTGTATATAGTTGGGTTCTACTTGACCCGTCCGTCCGGCATTGCACTCGTGTTTTTATTTGATTTTGTTCCTCTTTTTTTTTTTTTTTGGATTTCTGTACGCAACAAAAAAAAAAAACGCTACTTTGGCGCAACTTTGCACGTAACCGCAATCGAGAGTCGCGGCAAATAACTTTAAACTTGAAGCTCTTGTTGGCGTTAGTTTTTTTTGTTTTTTGTTTTTGTTTTCAGCTCAGCCTCTCCGCATTGAAAGCAAAAGGCAAAAATCAACTAAACGAAAATCCAAACCCGGAACTTACGAACCTAATCGAATTTGTTGTCGATCAGCGGCCCGCAGCAACAATAATAACAACAGCTGCCGCTGCCGCTGCTGACGCCGACGTCGACGTCGACTTCGCAGCAGACACTTAAATACATACAATGATCATGAGCTTTTGTTGTTAACGATGCTGCCTGATGACGACAATACAAACTGTTTTACAGTTACAGGACTGGAAGACTGGAAGATTGCCACCTGCTCACTTATCACGACGTAGGTGGCTGCTGCTGCTGCGCTGCCGCCTTATCGGTTAGTTTTTTTTTTTCCTTCTATTGTTTCTTTTTGTTTTTCATATTTATTTGATGTGGCCTGTAAAATTTATGAATGTTTACCAGCCAAAATAATTATGAATCAACGCATAATAAAAATATTAAAAAAAAAAAAAAAACAAATAAAAGTGTAACGAAACGGAAATAATATACACACATACATGCATACATATATGTATGCATTTGTGTGCATGCAGACGAGAAACAAAAAAAAACACTCCAATTGAGCAAAATTCAGTTGAGTGTAGATCCTGAGCACATTGTGGAGACTTACCGATTGGAATATGTCATCGCATTCGAAATAGTGTGTATTGCCAACGATATTTGCAGTTCCAGTTGATTTTTGTACAATTGTCGCCGACATTTTTGTTGCCGTTGTTTACTGTTGTTCTGCGCCGTGCTGCACTCTCTCTCTCTCCCGGTCTACACTTCGCTGCTTCTTCTTAGCGCGGGCTCTCGTATTTCACTGGACAGCGCAAAAACAAATTCTTTATCTTTGCTTCTATTTCGTCGACTTCTTCTTCTTCTTGCTCTTGTTGTTGTTATTATTTTTGATGGACGTTTGATGTTGTTGTTGTTGTTATTAATTTTTAATTCGTATTTTTTTTTGCTGACTGTTGGTTGAAAATTTAATTGCGTTGAATTTTGGATGTTTTGTTAAGAATTTTGTTTGGGTTTGGGTATTTGCACTAGTTGCACGATTCTTGTTGCTGTTGTTGTTATGACTTCTTGACAATTTTGATATTTGCTAGTTAAATTGTTGTTGTTCGTTTTTGTTGTTGTTGGTATTGTTATTGCGTTGCGCGTGTTGCATTTCAATCAACAGGCTGGAAGGAGAGACGAAACAAAACAAGTACGATAGCGTTAGAAAAAATTCTACACTCCGAAGTGTGTGTGTGTGTGTGTGTGTGTGCGACTCGAGGGGCAGGCAGCAAAATCACACACAGCTACACGTGCGCTGCGTGAATGTGTGTGATCGTGCGTGTGTATGTGTATGTTTTTACAAACGTACTCGAATTTGAGCCGCGGCTCTCCAAAAAAAAAAAAAAAGGATTTTCACGCACATGTGTTAAGCGTTAAACAAGAGCAAAGGCGAGCAAGAGAGACTTGAATGTTCGACGCATTTACTTTGTCCCTTCTTATATATATATACATGTTTTATTTTTTTTTAGTTCCAAAACAGCCGATTGCTGTTTTTGTTTGCTTTGCTTTTATCGTCTTCGTTTTCGTTCTCGCAGCAGCAGCAGCAGCAAGAGATAAGCTTGTCGACGTCGTCGTCATCGTCGTTGCCCGATCGTGTTCTTTACACACACACACATACATACATACGCACACACACACACGCCACGCAAGTGTGTTTGCGGGTGTATGTGTGCTAGTGGTGGTCGTATTTCAGCTCAAATCACATGCTGTTGCTGCATTTGCGCGCGTGTGTGTGTGTGTGTTTGTGTAATTTTGTAGCTGCGCAAGCAGAACAAGCGCAGGCAGACTTTGTTATTGCCGTCGATTTTATTTCAATTTTTATGCATGTCCTCTTCGGCTTGTTTTTTTTTACACACACACACACACACTTTGGATGGAGAGCTGCGGAATTTGAGTTAAGCCTTACCGATTCGAATCGTTCCTCGTGTGCTTGTATTTGTGCGCGCTTATTTGAAAAAAGTTGCGTTTGGCGAGGTTTCACAAACATTTAACGCTTCAAAATTCCCGCGCTTGTGCCAAGTAAAAAACACGCGCACTCTTCACACATGCACACACACACATACATCAATTCAATGTTTTATTGCAGTGGCAAGACCAACAAAAACAAAAACAAAACGGAAAAAAAAAATATTATAAAAATTATAAGGCAATTTGCAACCGAAATTGCATAGCTAGATGTATGCTATGTGTGTTTACTGTTTTTTATTTTTAATAATTTTTTTTATTTTCAAATATTAAAAAAATTTCAATAACAAACTCGTTGCCGCCTACTTTGATCGAGCAAAATTTTAAAATTATCAAAAAAAATACGTATATATATATATATATACATAGGATTGATGATCACAACACAATCGCACACTTGTGGCTTACTTTGCTGCTGATCCCGTTGCCGAGTGCACACAAATTAACTAAAATACGAGTGTTGCAAATATCCTGGCACGTTTCGCACCTTTTGTTTTTGTGCAGCAAACAAAAAACACGTCCGCTCTCAATAATGAATGTTACAAATATGAACTGTTATCCCACTGTAGTGGTGATAGACCATCGATGGCAGCATCAACATTATCGATAATTTCAGCGATCCTATGCGGTACTATCGAATCGCGCGCTGTTATGCTCAATGTACACTGTTGAGACTGCTGTTAAACTCAAATTGGTCATGCAATTAACAGTTATCTGTTGGGCTGATCATCTGATCAACATTTTTAATATATTAATATGTTACTGTCGAACTGATTTTAAATTTAAGTGCTAAGTAATTTGTTTATTTAGCTTTTATAAATGGGAAAACGCATATGCCCAAGCGGTGCACTGACCGTTAACTGCTAACATTTAATTACTCAAAATGGCACTGTTAGACCATCAAATTAAATAAAATAACAGCGCGCGATTTGAAAAAGATATTTTTATTCTTCAACTAACCTTGCTCAATTGCACTAACAACCTGTCGTGTTGGCATTGATGAACTGCACAAATAATTGCGGCACCTGCTCCAGTGGCGCCGGCGTCGTCTGGCTGGCCCGGCAGGTGCTTGTGATAAACTTCTGCCTCAAGCGATTCAGCTGCATGGGATTCATGGATGTGGCTACCTTGACCTTTGTCGTGCTGCCCTTGATGCGCAGCTGTCCGTAGGCGCCAATTTTGACAGCGCCCAGTATCTCCTTAATGATGTCCTGCATGATAACGTCCAGCTCAAAGAGGTAATTCGTAGCACCCAAAGGCGGCTGCAAGAGAACAAAAACGTGAGACAAATCGAAACAAATTTCGTCTTTGGGGCACATGTACTCACGTTCTGTGTGCTCTGGTTGGGCGGCAAGGGTTGCGTCTCAAACAGCGACTTATAGATGCCCTCCAAATCGATGCTGTCCTCGGGCAGTGCCACATACAAGGGACTGTCCCAGCGGCTATTACTGTGCGGCTCCTCGTAGCGCATGCATAACGCATCGAAAATCTCGCGGGTGTAGGGCACATTTGAGTTGTTTAGCGGCTGTTCGCTGGATGCCGCTGGATCCAATCGATCCGGCTCGTTGCGCTGCATATTGAATGCCCAGGCCTGCTCCTGCGGTATACAGGTGAACACCGTGCACTGGGTGGTCCGCGCCGCCTTTGTCATGCAGAAGAGCTCGTAGCGAAAACCTGCAAAAGTTGATTTATGATTGAATAGTTTTAAGGCGATATTAAGACTTTGGCCTACCCTTGATATAGTTGCCCGCATCGAGTATGATCACATCCTGCTTGTTCAGTTGCCTGGACGCCTCCGACTTGAGATCGCTGCGCACAACCTTCTCCTTTTGCGAGTCGCCAAAGAAGGCGTTCTTCTCGAACAGCGCCTTGGGCACGGCCACATTTTCGCTAATTAGATGCACCTTTTTGCCCCTAGCCACAAAGTATTCCTGTAGTTGATGGGCTCGCGTTGATTTGCCGCTCGCCGGCAGGCCAGAAATAACAATAATTGGCATTATTAACGGATTATTCGTATTGCATTTTATTTTGCACAAGTGCTCGAGCGTGTTCTGGCCAGTGTTGTGTAATGCTCACACGATGAATACTCAGTTAACATCGCTAGGGCGCGTTTATTATTTGATTAAATATCGATATTTTTATACTACTCTTATTTTGTTTTGTATTTAACGTGTTTTTGTTTGCAACAGAATCTAATTGTTACCCATGAATTGGGTATTATATAAATCGACATTAAATTGTATATTAATAAAATTTCGCATAGATGGGATTTTCACTGCAGAAAGAAACAATGAGTCAAAAATTGAGTTTTTGTATACGAAAAATGTTTGGATATGCAAGGTATCTATACTAAACTTGACACTTGACTGAAAAGCAAAGTAAATACCACTATTAAATATATCTAAAATTAGGTATTTTATCTACATTAGCCCGAAGAACCTTTTTCTTAGTTGTGCGTGGTAACACTTTATAAATATGAATTTTTTAAATTATTCCAAGCGACGATTAACTATCGATTATTCTTATCGTTCATCAAATAGATTTTCAGTGTTGCTAAATTCTGTGCAAAAGTAGACTTAAAACAATTGCCGCCATCTGGCAACGCGCACAATTCAGAACCAGCTACAGCTGGTAATCAAACTCCCATTGCTGCACTGCATCCATCACTTGCTCCACTGTTAGCTGCACTGTGTCTGGCCTGGGCATGGCAGAGAACCGTCGACGTTTTCGCAATAAAAAGCGGGTGAGTGCCCGATGTGATATCGTTTTAGTTGTTGCTTAACCAGCTGTTGTTTAGGATGATGGACGTCCGGGTCCATCGCCGACAACGCCGGTGACAATTGCCAGGCGCGAAGAGTCACGCACGCCCGTCGTCCAGCCAAAGATATTGCTGAAAAAGGAGGCCGAATCGAATGCCGGCAGCGGCAGCAGCGGTAGCAACAATGAGCTTCCCACATCCATTAAAACCATCATCATCAATCGCAGCGATGCGCGCAATAGCCACAGCGAACGTAACGCCTTCCCGGGCGCCAACACCATGAACAACACATCCAGCGTATGCGCGGCGCTCTCCAGCTCAACTTGTGCCAAGGAGAAGACAAATGGAACTGGCACTGGAACCACGAGCAGCAGCAGCAGCACCGTCACGCTGGCGGGCCAGCAGGAGTCGCTGGCGCCGCCGCGCATGACACGGCCAACACCGCTGCTGGTCGCGAACGGCGTGTTCAATGCGAATGCACGTAAACTCTTCCACAAGAGCAACACGGACTTTGCGGTAATCGGCGTGCTGGGCGCCCAGAGCGTGGGCAAGTCCACGCTGCTCAATCTGCTGGCGGCGGAGCGCTCCAGCGACTATGACTACTATCAGCATCTGTTTGGGCCGGAGGCCGCTGAGTGCACGTTTGCGACCAGGCCACGCGCCAAGCCGCAGCCGGCGTCGAACAGTAGTGCCTCCGGCTGCGCCGCCGCCTCCAAGCAGGTGCTGCGACCGCGCACCGAAACGTTGCAGTTCTTTATTACCCGGGAGCGTTATGTGCTGCTGGATACGGCGCCCATGCTGAGCGGCAGCACGGCCAAGGAGGCGGACTATTTGGATCTGCAAACGTTGTCCACCATGATGCAGCTGCTCAGCGTTTGTCATGTACTGCTGCTGGCGCTGGATGAGATCAGTCTGGAGCAGCTGCGTCTGCTGCATGCCGCACTGCGTCTGCGTCCGCGCACACCCTGCAAGGGCTATGTACGTGACTATCTGCCGCAGCTGTTGTTTGTGCGTACGCGCGCCCAGCGTCAGGATTACGAGCCTGCCAGCCGTGAGCGTCTGGACAGGCAGCTGGAGCTGCTGTTCGAGGGCACCGGCCTGCCCATCTATCGAGGACGCGGCGAGGCGCGCACCCTCAACAGCATGCTGCTGCCGGAATTCAATGGCAATGCGGCTGTCGTCCATCATGCCGGCGCCGCGGAGCTGGTGCGTCAGTTCCGGGAGCGTGTCTTCGGCATGGTGCGCGTCTCCATGTGCCAGAGCAACGACTTCAGCGAGACGCTCTGGTTCGAGATGCTCGCGGAGACGGCACGCAAATGCGCCGCAAGCAGCCAGAACTTTGAACAGATCTATGCGGAGATCAAGCTGCGGCATCTCGAGCTGCGCCCCAAATGGCGACCCGAGTCCAACTGGCGCAACGAGTCCTGAGACGCGCCCCAGCATGCATTCGAGCAGGATAGCTATACAGACTTATAGACATAGACATAGACATATTATATCGTGTATATATATTATACTCTACTTTATATATGTTAAGGCCTTAGCACTATTATTGGATGATGGGTGTACGGACGAGACGGCGCGACTCTATTGTGCGGCCCTTATGGGGTGTCAAGAGAAGGAAGGCATTTCCATTGTAAATTCTGGATCGGACGTCTTTTACTTGCATCTTTATGGAACTTTGCATAGATCCTTTCCAATACATATGTCTGATTCGACCAAATCGATTATATATATATATAATATATTGTGGGAAAACCCTTTTTCTATATATCTTGATCAAAATTTTGGGGGCGTTACGAACCAACTTTTAGCTACATCTTCTCCATTACAAGCTTAACTAGAGAAATCTTTCTAATAATTTGATGTGAGGCTCTTAGTTCAGAGAGTCTTACAGATCGGCGGGGTTTTATATGGGCCTCTAGTTTTATTGTCAGATCGGTTTTAAAAGTAGGGAAGAGGGGGGGGGGGGGGGGGGGGGGGGGGGGTTACAATAAAGCTAAATATAGTTTGCACATTTTTGGTGTCATGATCGACTATAATTTTCGTAAAATGCTGGAATCGATATTTATCGCTTAGTGAATATCGAATTGAAGGATATATTGTTATCGATTTGATGATGTCTCTAGATCTCAAAATCTCATCTGAGAATCGATAAATATCGATCGAGTCGATAAACGCAGTTATCGAGAAATCTTTTAAAAACAAATCGATATTTATCGACATTGAAGAGAACCAGGTTTGAAGAAAATAGAGCTCATGTTAGAGCTTATATTCAATAAGATGTGCCCAAAAAGTAAAGTGTGGAGTTTGGTAACGATAATTATCGAAGTGCAAAAGGACAAGGTATATATGAAGGGATCAAAATGTTTTAAATTTTATAAATTTAGACTGGGATAACATTTCTAGCTTGAGACTGTATGGAGACAAAAGCAGCTGGTCGATAGGCAAAACAGCTTTTCATCCTGTTCGAGAATATATATATATATATATATATATGCTATAAATTTACTCTATGTTTGGTATATAACTATTATACATAAGGAGCAAAGAGACTCCCTAAAATGGATTGAACAAAGCTATTGGATAACAGATAACAGTTGAAGGTCTACATTTTGGTCCTGCATTTGAAATTCGTATGTATCTAGATATATATTTGTGCTAGCAGGAGCGGTGGGTGGGTGGGTGGGGTCTGGTGTTGTTTAATGGTCAAGATGTGTGTGTGTGCGATATCACGTTTGCTTTGCCTCAGTCTCAAAATCGAGATCATTTTCGTTGCTTTGGTTCACAATTAAGTCTGGCGGCTCGTTGTTTGGACGTTGATCCTCCTCCTCCCGCTGCTGCTGCCGCTGCTGCCTCTGGTTCGGCTGTTCGTAGTTGTTGGGCGGCTTGCGGCACACCCAGAAGAGGCTCTGGTATTCGCTTTGCTTCATCGATAGCGGATTCTGTGCATATTTGGTGCGTATGCCGCTTCGTGAGCTCAATATATCGAAGCCAACGCTCTCCATAATTATGATCAGATCCTCGTACGTTGGCTCAATGCTGTTCTGGCCATTGATGTCGCTATAGTGATACAGCAACGGTCCGAGATTCACCCAAATGCCGCCAGGCACTAGAATTCTGCAAAGCATTAAGTCACAAATTAGAACAGAGCACAACGTGGAGCAACTGCAACCGCGAGACTCACTTGTAAATGGTGCGTATAAAATCAATAACATTGTTGGCACAATCGATAAAGAAGCATGTGGCGACACAGTTGTAGGCATCCGGCGTTTTATAGACCTCAAGGAAATCACCAGCGGCCATCTCGATGTTGCCCTTGGGCGGATTCCTAACCGGACAGACATCGGGAAAACGCACCGAGGCCACCTGATCGGCGCGCCGCATATTATTAACATACTGATGCACCCACGGATAGAGCACATGCTTGTTCTCATAGTCGCACAGATTGAGCACGAAATTCGAGGCGATCAGCATAAAGTAGGAGAACTCGTTGCCCTCGCACGCATAACCGCGACAGGCCAGCTCGTAGGTGAGCCTGCCCAGGCCAGCGCCAGGCACCAGTATCTTAATCTCATTCAGTGCGCTGCAAACGATCAATTGTTCAGTTTTACAGTTATATATATAGATATAACAATTGATACTCACTAATCGCTTGGCTTGTAATACTCCTCGATGCTGTCGATGATCGGCTTGTAGGACTGTTCGCGTTCCACGGCGCATTCGGCGCTCCAGTCCCGTGCGATCAGTTTCAGTGTGGACTGAGCCTTTAAAATTTTTAGAGGTTCAACATCATCAGCAATAACATCATCATCATCATCATCATGAGCATCAACAAGAAAATTAGTCTAAGATAGAGATTTGTTCTTTACAGTCTTTCAAAGCAAACCAATTACAAAATGACGTCTTCTTATGAAACATGCCAATCGATTCGCAGTGAAAGCTACAGTGGACAATAAAGTACCGACTGCCTAGCTAACGATCTATATAACATATACATATACACAACTTTTTAGCATATACACCCATCTATCAAATATTTTTTGATATTTCTACATATAAAACTGTCTGTCCTGACTGACTGTAAGAGCTAGGAAGTTGACATTTTTATTGTAGTTACCTTATGTGATGGAGCTGCACGCTAAGACGGGGTTTCGGGAGATTCCACTCGAATGTGTGGAATAATAGCGAAAAACTTTTTTATTTACCATCCGATCGGATCATTTGCTTTGTATATATGAAAACATGCATGCATGCATGCTTACATGTATGCATGCATGCTTACATGTATGCATGCATACATATGTACATGCTTACATGTATGCATGCATACATATGTACATACATACATACGTTCATACATACATGTACATATGTACATACATACATATGTACATGCATACATGTGCACATACATACATGTGTACATACATACATGTGTACATACATACATGGGTACATACATACATACATACATACACACAAATGTACATACATACATACATACACACAAATGTACATACATACATATGTTGGTACATACATATTTACATACATACATACATACATACAAACATATCTACATGCTTACATATCTACATACATACATTTGTACAAAAAAAAAGCCAAAACAAGCCACAAAAAAGCCACTACACTACTCGCTTGGCGTGAAAAACTGCAGAGCCTACTTGACTTCTTGAGAATCGAGGAGGAGAGCACTTGACAAAAATTCGTTTTATTAAAAATTTGCAGCACAGCGACAAATTAGCTAGGTCTGCGTTTGGTTTTAGAAAACAAAGATGCATGCATACATATATGTACATACATAAATGCATACACTGACATACACACAAGCAAACATACATACAAACATACATACATGCATGCAATATGTAGTTGGCCGACTTGATGAGATGAATCAAACAGGAGTCACATTAATGAGGCTGCGGGCAGCAGGCTGGGGCCACGGACTAATGAGGATGATAATGATGATGATGATGATGCTGATGGGGTTGATGATGATGGGAATGATGATGATACGGATGTCCCTGTATTATATATGAGTATTATATTGTTATCTAGTTACGATTATCTAGCCTAAATCTATATATCTACATAGTTCATAATACCCTATATACCCTGTACTCAGAGAAAGTCAAGCTATACCAAAAGCCCTATTCCAAATTGGATGTCCGTAGCGCTTATAGTTTCTGGGGTTGGCTCAAAAAAGTGAGGTTGGAAATTAATATCTAGCAATTATTCTTGAAAGTAACAATATAAGCTGCTAATAAAACAAAATGTGAACAGATAGATGGCTGGAATATTCAAGAATGTATACACGCATATGGGAATCGATATAGTCCCCTACGGGCAAAAGTTAGGTTAGGTATGCTTTGGCCAACGGTATCTTAACCCTAGCACTGCTTAACGTTTCTCTATTTTTGTCCACTGAGCGTAATAAAATGGAAAATGGAAAAGGAAGTATACTGGTATGAGAAATGGCTGCATTGACTGTTCCCACTCACCTGATCCATGTCGCCGTGTCGCACATGGTCGGGCGCCTCCTCCAGCTCGATGTCCGCGTCGCCATCGCCAGTTGGATAGAGGACACGATCGCGCAGAATCTCTCGGATCACAGACTGATTGCCGTCAATGCACCTGCGCACGTTATTCAAATGCTTGCGGTATTTGGAGAGCAGACGCTGATCTTCAATGGACAAACTGTTAAGGTAATCCTCCGTTTTGTTAACCCTTAGGTAGGCATAACGTCTGTTTGGGGCAAAATTAACGATTAGAGCAAGTGTCCTACATATACATACATGCATACAAACACGCATACATATACCCACACAGGCACACAGGCACACAAGCACACATGTGCACATGTTAAGCCGCTCAAATTGATTTTCGTTATCAGCTGTTGAACATGCACATGCACGCATACACATACGCACATGTATGTGCATATGTGTTAGTGTGTGCAGCGGGGGGTAATTTGCATCAGCGCGTTTGGCTTAAATACCGTTTGTTTACAATTCCATGCACCCACCTGTAGTACTGAAAGGCATTCTGCACTTTCTGTATATGCCGGCGCTCTTCTTCATCCTCTTTGGCGGTAAATGCTGGCGCCTGATCTCCATGCATTTTGGGATGCATAGGAAATGGCAACGATGGCACCATATCACTCATGTCCGCAAAAATGTTAAATGTACTACCTAATGGACGCCTAAAAACCTAATAACTTTTTAACTCAATTAATCGATATAGCAGCCAGTGTTACGCAGTTTTCCAAAAATATCGTTACGTTACATCGCAATAAAGTTATCGATATACGACACTGCGCATCGAACAATCGGCAGCTTCTTTAAATCGTAGTAGTTAAATTGAATACATGACTTTTTAGATTAAAGAAAAACTGTTTGGCTTATATGAGCCAACCAGCTTTAATTGAATGAGAGTAATCTAGCTAGTCATGCATATTATATATTTATTAAGTGCATTACACGTACGTAACAAAATGTTTTGCAATAAACAATTAAAGCTTATACAGAATAAACAATTTTCAACCATTTTGGATTAAGCGCAACGGCTCAGGCGCGTCAACACAATAGCATCAACGAAAGAGTTTAGTATAATATATATATAAGCATTTGTACAAGCAATTGTTAAGTGTCATTGGGTTCAGATGATGCCATTTGTTGAGACGCATTGGCTGGGCATGTGTATGTGTATGTGTGTACATATATATATATATATGTGTGTGTGTGTTTGTACATACTTGTAGTATAATTTAGTGTAATTAAAGTTAGTGCTTAGAATAATAAATTGTATCGCTGCTGGGCATATGTTTGTGTAAAACAATTGTACAGTGTTCGCTTGTACAAATTTAAGTAAATAACAGCGCATTTGACCACAGGAGTATTTCGAGTTGCGACATATATATAATAAACAAATCAAAATGTCTAAATTGCATAGGGGGCGGGGCAGGGGTGAGAATCTCTCACGCACACACACACACATTCAGCCTTCAAGCGGCGGCGGCTGCTCCGCCTCAATGGCCAGCTCTACGAGCGGCCTATCAGCCTCGCGTTCATGTTGCAGCTCCTCCGGCGGAGACTGCGGCCTTGGGCACTGTTGCTGCTGCTGCGGCTGCGGCTGCTGCTCTGCCAATGGCACCGGTGAACGCTTGGGCGTTGGCGGCGTCGATGATGCTGTTGACGAGGCTGAGCCGGCTGGCGATGCTGACGGATTTTCGTGCGGTTCACGCGGCAAGTCCGCATCATTGGTGACATTCGCTGCGGCTACTGTGGAGTTGCGTGACCAGCGCAAGCCGGCGGCGGCTGGGTATACGACCTGCGACAAGGAAAGTGCAGCAGCGGCGCGCGATGTCGTCGCAATCTCATCCTCCAGCTCCAGCGATTGTTCAAGCTGGCGCTCCTTTTTCTGCTCGGCTATCTTCTTGAGATAGCTCTCGTCCTGTGTGGGGCACTCCAGATGAACGCAGTGGAATATCTGTGAAATAGGCGATAGACTAATGAGTATTGCTTTCAAGCTTTGGTGGCACTTGGACCTACCTCATTTGCCGTATTGCGTGTGCCCACAATGCGTATAAAGACAATGGGACGCGGTGTAAAATGGAAATTCTGCCAGGAGCGCGCATTTTCATTGCGCTTATCGACAACGATTTGCCAATTCTTGCGATTTGTCGAGGTCTCGATATAGAAGCTATAAGTGCGATCATCGCAGTCCCACAGAAGCAGACGCATTGAGCCCACATAATAGGGCTGACCCAGACGCACAACAATCTCGCCGCTGCCCAGCTGATGGCACGTATAGCCCGAATCCCAATCGTAGCGCGAAAAATCGCCATTGATGAGCGCATTACGTGTCCGACTGACGCCGTCGGTGACAATGGCGCTCATCTCAATGGTGGCCACATTCGCAACGGGCGCAACAAATCCGTCTATGATTTTGGGTGAATTCGATGTGTGCATGGCCTCCAGGCCAACCACATGGAAAACCTAAAAGAAGATCAGATACAAATTAAATAAATCCTTTGAAGAGCTTAGCCAACGGCAACTCACCCGATTGACCGTATTCTGTGTGCCCACAAGGCGTATATAGCGCACGGGACGCGCCTCAAAGTACAAAAACTGCCAGGAACGGCAATGGTATTCACTGTAATCAATTACACGCTCCCATTGCTGCTGATTGCCGGAGACCTCAACGAAATACGAGTAGGCTCGACTGTCGCGATCCCAGAGCAGCATCCGTATATGATTGACCATGCACATGGTGCCCAATTCAACAACAATGCCGGCATCATTGCTGTCCGTGATGCAGTGACGCGTATAGCCATGCTCCATATCGTACGAGGTGACATCGCCGTCCAGCAAGGCCGAACGACATTCACCCTGAATGCAACGCGATAGATATTTGGCTGTGGCCACATTCTCCTCCGGCCAGAGTGCGGCACGATACGGCAGAGTCTTCGATGTGCTACGCTCATCGATGGCGTCCAGTATTTTATCCGGCTCCAATATGCCGGACGGGCGCACCACTTGCAGCAAATGCTCGAGATTCATGAGCGGCAGACGCACAAAGGAGACAACGGTTTTGATATCAATATCGGGATTATAACGGCTCCATTTCCAGACGGCCAGAAAGATTTGCACCTCCGGCGCAAAGAAGCAGTCGCGGCGCAGCACCTCCTCCAGCGATTCCTAAAATTGGAATAATCAATTACGAAATCTTGCCACGCTCCCAAAACAGACTCACCTTTGAAAGCATTTTGAAGGAATCATGCTGCAGCAAATCGGCGGCATTGCGATCCATAAACATGTGACAGACCTGGGTCAGCTCCTCGAGATTGTAGAGGCGTGCCGCATCCAGTATCATGCAGACATTGTTCAATGCCAGATATTGACGCAAGTATTTCGATATGGCCATTTCCAGATCCCCGAAGCCATACTGATTGGCCATGCCCAGCACACCGATGACAGCGTCCTCGTCCAGTGTGGCCAGCGATAGGGTGCCCGAGTATATGTAGCGTAGCAGCACCTTGAACGGATCTAGCGGCACCTCCAGTGAGATTTCACGTTGTGTTGCCTCCGACATGCCGCCATAGAGCAGGGCGCGAAAGTATTCGCTGCGTGCCGCCAAAATGGCGCGATGTGCCGGCAATCGTTGCTCCTCGACAATAAATTCAACATCTGCATAGCGTTCGTTCATGCAGAGACGCGCAATGTCCGCGGAGAAGCGATCGCCCAGATCAATCTCATCCGTGGCATCTGTGTGATTTTTGCCGTTGGCCAGCGTTGCCAGACCGCCGCCACGTCCGCCCTGCATCTTGTGGTGTCCCTGACTGCTCATTGTTGTATAACTTTATCAATTTTGCGCTGTCTGTATAAATATATATTTGTTGAAGCTTCTTAATTTTTTTTTTTTTTTTGGATTTTTATATTTTTTGCCTTTTTTTTTGGTTTTTTTTTTTTTTTTTTTTTTTTTTTTTTGAAACAGAAAGAACAAAAAAAACAACTAACAAACACGGAGAATTTATAGAAACTGAATTAATACGCTTCTAGCGAAATGCTAACTGGGCGCCTGTCATACCTACTTTAATTTTTGTTTACGCATAGGCTTGCTAAGTCCGCCTTAAAATTTACTCCCCCTTTCTCGTGTGTGTATTTGTTTAACTTTTGTGTGTACCCGTTGGGCACAGTGAATTATTTGGCCATCCGCGTAGTTTTTGGCGCTGGAATTTCTTCGAGGTAGTCGTTCAGCTGGCAATTAACTAAGTACGTAAATGTATTGTATTGCGGCTGTTTTTTTCTGTTGTTATTGTTGTGTCAATGTACTAATGTTTTCTACTCGCAAGAATTAATAAGATAGAGATGGGTGTAGGCATATTGATAAGGTATCGATGTACAACTATCGCGTTGTTCGGAATCAAATTGCACGATATATAATCCGAAACTACCGGCAATATCGATATCATGCAAAAACATAATTAATTGCCATTATACACAAAAACTTATAGTGATTTACAGACATTATGGTTGAAGCTGATAATAAAATTCCATATGCAGCTATGGCTTTGAGCATATTTTTGGTACGCCCCTTGACGATATCGATGCAGTGCGATAAGTGCCTATCGACAATCAACTCGCATCCCTAACTGACTCTTTTCGTGGTGCGGACGCAATCTGCAAACTCGTGGCGAATTTTTGTATTACATTTTCGTTGTCCATTTGCATAGCAAAACAAGGTAAATGAACGTAAACGGTGCACCGTGACAGCAGCAAATACTTATTCACATTTTACGTGCATGAATTACAGATGCCGGGCGTTGAAACAATCAAATCAAGTTGGGCCGATGAGGTGGAGCTGGACTACGGCGGCCTGCCACCAACAACGGAGACCATTGAGAATGGCCACAAATATGTGACCGAATACAAATACAACAAGGATGATAAGAAAACAAAAGTGGTGCGCACTTACAAAATATCCAAGCAGGTGGTGCCAAAAACTGTTGCCAAGCGCCGCACCTGGACCAAATTTGGTGATTCGAAGAACGATAAGCCCGGCCCCAATTCGCAGACCACAATGGTGTCCGAAGAGATCATAATGCAGTTCCTCAACTCTAAGGAGGATGAGAAGGCAAACGATCCGTTGCTGGATCCCTCCAAGAACATTGCCAAGTGCCGTATTTGCAACGGTGAGCATTGGTCGGTCAATTGTCCCTACAAAGGTACCGCCATGGATACGAATCTTATGGAGAAGAAGGCCGCTGCCGCTGCCTCTGCGGCCGTCGATGCACCCAAATCCGGCAAATATGTACCGCCATTCCTCAAGGACAGCCAAAAGGGCGGCATGGGTATGCGTGGACGGGACGATACGGCCGCCATACGCATCTCCAATCTGTCCGAGTCGATGACCGAGGCCGATCTCGAAGAGCTGGTGAAGAAGATTGGCCCACAGAGCAAGATGTACCTGGCCCGCGACAAGAACACCGGCCTCTGCAAGGGTTTCGCCTACGTACACTTCAAGCAGCGCAAGGATGCGGCGGCGGCCATCGAAATATTGAACGGACATGGCTACGATCACTTGATCCTCAGTGTTGAATGGTCCAAGCCTCAGAACAATTAGAAAACGGCGAGGTGTGTGGAATCCTGTGGGTGTGTATGCAGCATGGCGTCGATGCCTAGAGAGGGGACATTGAAGTTGATGTTGAAGAATATGTAAAATCCTTTTAGTTTTTTTTTTTAATGCCCGAAGCATACCGCATGTGTTACCAATAAACAGTACACTGTGTCTAAGCTATAAGTTTGCTAAAATACAAAAACGAAATAAAAACAATACGCTCTGACGGCGCCCAACAATTGCCTGCGTTTATTTACGCGCTTAAATCATAAAAAGCAATGAAATGTGACGTCACGAATGTGCTGACGCTCTCACAGCGTTGCCAGCGTGGGCCGGAGAAGCTGTGCAACATTAGCGACACTCCAGCACTTGCTCTCCCATAAACAATATTCTCAAGCTGTGTGATTATTTCTTCACTTTGTGAAGGTAAAATTATTTGATCGCATTTTAATTGATGAGATTAGATAAACTATCGCTGAAAATGCTCAAATGGCATTTGGGTATTGCTTGTTTGAGTTGCAGCTCTATTTAAAACCACCTGCTGCAGGAAAGCCACTAATGTTCTTGTCATAAATACGCATATGTATGGATGTCGAATACCCTATAACCCTATACTTAAGCGGGTATATTCGCTACCATGCGGTTGTACTGCACATACTTTTATCAACAGTGTTGCCGTAGCTAAATCTAATGCTAAAATCAGCCAGATCTAAATATTAACATGCTTAGCTAGAAATGAGCAAGCCTGGCAGCCAGTGTTGCTAATCAACTTTTTGCGAAATATTTAAAAAATACTGTATAGTATTTTGCAGGGTAGCTGCGCGTGCGGCCAAAACGTGCTGCTGTTTTGCTTTTGCTTGCGTAAATTGTGTTTTGTTTGTGCCGCCCGTGCGCTAAATATAGAAATAGGTGCCGCAAAAGCATTCGAAATTTGAATATAGGAAAATGCAATATTAATTTAAGCTGCTGGCAGGTGTGCGTTCTCTATTCATTATGTTTTAAGCACTGGCCGCAATGGAATTGCCTGCAACGTCCTCAACCACAAGGCTGGAAATCAAACGTGGTACGCGCATTTTAACCGAAAAGCCCTTTGCCTATGTGCTCAAGTCTAAATATCGGCTGGAGCGCTGCGACAATTGCCTGGAGGCGTAAGTTAACACACCGCATGCTCTCGCCAGCGCCATTAAATTGCCAAATCTCGATTGCAGGGTTAAGGTGCTCAAGTGCTCCAATTGCCGTTATGTGTCATATTGCAATCGCGCCTGCCAGCAACAGGCCTGGCCGCTGCACAAGCACGAATGCCCCTTCCTCAAGCGCGCCCTGCCCCGCATTGTGCCCGATGCGGCGCGCATGCTGTGCCGCCTGATACTGCGCCTGGAGCACGGCGGCGATCTGGAGCGTGGCTACTACACGGCGCATGGATCGCGCAAGTTTCGCGATTTGATGTCGCGTGAGTCGTCACACATAATCCAAATTGCGGCATCAGTTATTTAGCTCTACTCTTTTGCAGATTACGCGGAGATCAAGAACGATCCGAAGCGTCGCGAGCATCTGGAAGCATTGCACGCCGTGCTCACGGACATGATGACCGACAGCAGCAGCGGCAGCACAGTGCCCAATCCCACCGAACTGATGAGCATTTATGGCCGTGTAAGTGCTGTTTGAGCATGAAATGCATGACGCGGATGTGCTGCTCTAAACCACGTACAAAGCTGCCGTCTCACGGCTGTGGCACATTTCACTTTCGTTTCATTGGCCCGCTGCCAGCTGTCAATTAGCTGCTGCCAGTTGCCGGCAGATGTTTAGGCAGCTGCTGGGGTCAGGTTAAGCAGGCAACAATCCTAGACCTGGGGCCCAAAGTGTGCTGCCTCTGATCAATCTCTGTGTATAAAGCTGTTGGTCTTGATGGTACGTGGGGTTCTAGACAGTACTGGAAATGGATGTATACATGATATCAAAAAACGCGACACGGGCAAGGAAGGGCAATATCTGTTTGTTTGTACCCTTGTGCCAAGGCCAAGAACCTTATCGAAGATTATTTAAAGAGTAACAGCTCCTCCGTCCGAGAGCCTGATCACAGCTGCTATAAAATGCACATAATCTTAATCAATTGCCCACCAGCTGCGACACACATCATAATGTATGCCGGCTGCTGCTCAAGTCTGGTCGAGATGCGGCGAGCTTCCGGCCTCGTCTAGTTATCTATGATGATAGTGATCCTTGTTTATTGCAGCTCATAACGAACGGCTTCAATATACTGGACGCCGAGATGAACTCCATAGCGACTGCCATTTATTTGGGCGTATCCATTACGGATCACAGCTGCCAGCCGAACGCTGTGGCCACATTTGAGGGCAACGAGCTGCATGTGCACGCCATTGAGGATTTGCCGTGCCTCGACTGGTCCAAGATCTACATTAGTTACATCGATCTGCTCAATACGCCCGAACAGCGACGCGCCGATCTCAAGGAGCATTATTATTTTCTGTGCGTCTGCAGCAAGTGCATTGATCCCCAGGAGATGCACGAAATGACCGCCGCCGTCTGTCCCAATGCCAGCTGCGATGCCAGCGTCAACATTGAGCTGGCCAAGTGTCAAAGCTGCGATGCCAGCGTTACGCCGGAACTACGTACCGCCTACAATGAGATCATGTCGCTGACGCAGAGCAGCCTGGACTCCATGAAGGAGGTGGCGTGTAAGTAGTTCCATATACGGATTCTATATTGTAGTTCTACGTTCGATGTGTTCAAGGGGATTATAGGGTATTTGCTAGTTGGGCTTTGCTCGCTTAATACAATCAAAACCCCTCGCTTACCCCATTCCAGATCTGGACGTGTGCAAGGTCTGCCTGGCGAAGCAGCGTGGCGTGCTGCATCCGCTGAACGTTTGGCACGTGAAGACGTTGGACGCGGCCTTCGAGGCTGCCATCAATGTGGGCAAGTGGACAGACGCGCTGGAGTATGGGCAGCAGCTGTTGCCCGGCTTTGCCAAGTACCATGGCGCCTGGAACCCGCTGTTGGGCCTGCTGCACATGAAGCTGGGCAAGATACAGCTGTATGAGCGCAACTACAAGCAAGCGGTTTATCATTTGCAGGAGGCGCAGCGCATATTGAACGTGACACATGGCCGGGATCATCGGCTGCTGTTGGAGCAGCTCCATCCGCTCATGCTGCAGGCCAGGCACGAGATGAGCTGAGCTGAGCTGAACAAGATTTAATGTTAGTTTGTACGCTTGATTCAAATGTATTTGCATTAAAATTAACACACTATTGATAATGATATTGATTGCGGCTGTTAAACGATCTGCGTGATAGCCTTGGCGCGTCGATCCGTGTCCTGGAAGAGCGCACGTATCAGATGCTTTATTTCGCTGGCCTGATAGTTGGCGGTTAGCGGACCGGCGCCATCGCACCACAGCTCGGTGAACTCCTTGAGCGAGGCATTCATCATGATCTTGAGCTGTTGCAGTTTGAGCCAGGAGCGCACATGCACCACCTCATGCTTGTCCTGGAAGAGTAGCGGCGCCTTCTCCAGCACCACATCGATTAGGTCGCTCAGCTCGCTGGCCATGGTGGCCGAAATGTCGCGCAGCTTGAAAACGCGCCGCACCAGCTCATTGGTAAAGGCATGCAACAGCTCACAGAAGCTGCTATTGTATACATTCTCCGGCAGCACCTGTTGCCACACATTCTTCAGCAGCTCCAGCTGGCGCAGGCACTGACGCACCAGCCGCAGCGGAGCCGTGCCCAGCGTATGCGGACTCTCGAACTCTGAACAAAGCAAAAGCGCGATTAGTTTGAATTGAATTTATGTACGATTAAGAAAGAATACTTGCCAAACCCGCTCATTATGTCCATCAGTATGGACTCCTGATAGTTGACCTGGACGCGCAAATGTTTGGTACCCGTCGCCTGCAGCATTTTGACCAGCGATGGGAAGCTATCGATGCCCTTGTTAGCATGCTGTGCCACCCAATGGGTTAGGTACATGCAATTGTTGTGGAACAGCGCCGATTGCTGCGGTATGCTCTGCAGCAGCTTCTTGTGCACCTTGGGCACCTCATCAATGTACGTCTCCAGCAGCAGGCCGACGACGCCGCCCAACGGATCGGGCGCATCCTCAGCAACCTTATCTGTCGGCTGTCGCAGCACACGATCCATAAGCTTGACAAACTCCTGCAGAAGACGCAACAAATTAGTTATTGAAATGGGAATTTGGGGATTAGAGATTTGATGCTGCTTACCTGTGCGCTCTTGGAGATCATGCAGCGTGGGAATAGAAACGGATCGCTGGCCACATTGGAGGACAGATTGTTTGGGGCCACCAGCGTCATGTCCTGCAAATCACGTTGTATAATCTCGCGTGCTGTGGCAAGGACACGGGCGGACAGCCTATTGCGATAATATGTGTCAAACTGTTTGGTGAACTCGCTGAGGGCGGTATCTTGCTCGGGATTGATGAGAAACGTATCGGCCAATTGCTGTTCGAATTGGGCGACATCCACGCACAGCGTTGAGTTATTATACTCGTCCATGGTCTCAGGCACAGCTGGTATTAGGCACTCGTCGACTAGCAGCCGTAGCATGCGATCCTTGACATGATCTCCAATAATGCTAAAGACATGCTGGGTGCCATTGAGGCTGACATTAATGCTGGCCAGGGTCTGCAGCAGCAGGCGGAAGTGTTCGAAGACATCCTTATAGTTGGGACGCAGCAATGGAGATGTCTCCTGCTCCTTGATCGAATAGGAAAGCGTTAGCTGGATGTGGCTGCCATCCTTGGCCATATCGTTGTACTCGACGGACACCGGCTTTTGAATGAGTGGCTCGATACAGTGATCCAGCAGAAAGGTGCACAGCTTGGAGGGATTATAGCGTTCCTGGAACAACGCCATCACAATATCCTGCAGCTGTGCCTCATCCTTGCTGAGCAGCAGCGTTACGCACTTCGATGTCGGAAACGATTTGCAATTCAATTGTACCAGACGATCGAAACGCTCCTGCAGATTCTGTTGCAACAGATGGGCCTGCACGTGATACTTCACCTTGATGGATTCGTAGCATTCCAGGGAGTGAAAGATGCGCTCCACATCGGGCGGTATGACATCCGTTGCACCCTCGCCATAGATTAGGCTGCGCAGCTTGCCCATCAAATCGAGCAGCACCAGGCAATCCTTGTTGCCCTTGGCGTCCTCGACGCACTGAAACAAATCGTCTAGCTTGAGTATATGCTCGCTAACGCGTAGGCCCAGCATCATTTCACGCAAATCCCGGCTGCTGTTGGCCAGCTCAGCGCTCGCGTCGTTCAAGGCGGCCAGTCCCTCTTCGCCAACGGAGGCAAGCAATTCGTTGATCTCTTCGCCCAGAGTGCTTGACTTCTCCAGAAAGATGTCCGGTGATGTGTGATTGGGCATAAATTCGGTATAGTTCTCGTCTATGTGCTTCCGTACGCGCGTCTGGAATCTTTCGGTGCGTACCAGCATTTTAGTGATTGCCGATTTGGTTGCTTCAATATTGTTGGCATTATTGGCCTGGCCATGAAAGGTCTCCAGTAGCACCTGGTTTTGAGCCATGGTCGTTGCAAGCGTACTATCCACGGCAAATAGCTTTAAAATGTCAACCAACTATTTGGTGCGAATACAAACTGCAACGACGACGCTTGTTTATTTTTTTTGTATTTATCGATTAATCGAATCACGACAAACAAGCGATGGTTCAACAATACTGTGCTCGATACTTGAGAATCTGAGTACTTTGGCGGTATATTAAAATTATAAACTGAAATGCCGAATAAACACTTTGCCGCGCTGACAATATAGTCAGTTTGCAATTATTCTGATTATTACAAATTTTAATAGAATTAACTATTATCGAATTTGAAAAAGCTTGCGTTCGGTGTTACCAACTGCCGCTTTAAAAATGAAACTGAATGCAGTCTTAAAAATAGCTTAAATGGCACAAACTGGCGATAGAAAAGATTGATTGCGCTAGTCATTGAGATGCCACCGGATGTTACCAGCTGACGATCCATAAAAATAGCCAAATGTAGCTTGAAAATAAATAGCGCATTTGTAACACTAGTTGCGTAGCGAAGGCTTCGAGTATCGATATTTTTTTTTTGGAAAATTGCGCTAGAATAGTTTGCACTTGTCGAAACATCGATACTTTTAGCAATGCCCCGACAACTGGCGGATTTAGACAATAGGACAAAGTGTAAAATGCCGTTTACAAATGCATTTAAAATAATTAAATTTCGATTTTTATTGCTTATTGTTGTTATAAATAGCATTAGTATAGTCAACTGCATAGAGCCCATATCGATCGGCATTGCTGCCGGCGTGGGCGCCATAGGTTTTGGCTATTTCAAAAGTCAAACCTATTGTCGGCTCTATGAGTGCTGCGACGACCGTAGCATTCCGGGCAACATGACAAGTAAGTTAGTTGATCACCTGTATTGAACACCTCTTAACGCTGCCACTTTGCAGAGCTATACGAGTCACTGTCGCAAACACTATTTGGACAGCATATGGTGCAGCAACATGTTATGCCCGCGCTTGTTGCGCATCTAAAATCGGATAGTCCATCCCGCAAGCCGCTGGTCATGAGCTTTCATGGAACGCCCGGCACGGGCAAGAGCTTTGTTGCTGATCAAATAGCGCAAGCGCTTTACATGGAGGGTGCCAAAAGTAAATATGTGCACAAGTATTTGGGTCGTGCGGATTTTGCGCATCCCGGCCGTATCAATGAGTATAAGGAGCGCATTAATCGTGAGGTGCGTGAATTTATACAGGATTGTCCACGCTCCCTGTTCATATTCGATGAGGTGGACAAGATGCCAATTGGTGTCTTCGATACGCTCACCTCGCTGGTGGACTATGCGGCCAATGTGAAGGGCACCGACTATACCAAAGCCATATTTATATTTCTATCCAATACGGCAGGTGTGCGCATCTCCGATCATTTGGCCGAGCTTATGAAAAAGGGTACACAGCGTGAAGATACACGTCTATCTGACTTTGAGGAAATGCTGAAAATGTCTGCCTACAATATGGAGGGCGGCCTCAAAAAGACCAACATGATCGAGGCACACGTCATCGATCATTATATACCATTTTTGGCGCTTGAAAAGGCGCACATTGTCCAGTGCGTGGAGGCCGAGTTCCAGCGCTGGCACATCCGGCCAAAGCAGCAAGATATCAATACTGTTGTCAATAGTGCTGTTAACTATGATCCCAAGTATAGCATGTTTGCGACATCCGGTTGCAAGACGATTGAGAAGAAAGTCGCAATGGTAGTCAACGAGCTGAGGGTACCTTAATCTGCAGCCGTCATCCATGTGATAAGCTCTCATTTGGCCTTATATACGTTTCATTTGTTTGTGTATATATATATATATATGAACGATTCTATTTTACATTAAAACTGAATGAATCTTAGTTTTCTACCAGGGATTCAGCCATTTGAGTCGTGAATCTTTTCGCAGCAGCTCCGTATCCAGGCGTTTGGGCTGCTGGTCGAAAGCTTCCCGGGCAGCATCGCGCACCTCAACAGGTCCGATGTCCTTGGTCACCAGGCACTCGCCGTTCTCCTTGAGTATCGTGTGCTTGATGTCCTGTGCCGTGGGCTCGCCATATGGAAATGTTATGGGTGTCACTTTTATCAGATGCTTTATTTTCCATAGGCGTGCATTGTTTTCGGGTATGTTCTTCACCACGGTAAAATCGCTCTGTTTGCCATCCAGGCCCAGATCTTTGAGCAGGCGCTTCTCCCAGAACGGATTACCCTTAACGGGCTTTATGCGCTGCACCCGAAACAGCTTGGCCGGCTCCACTGGCGGATCCTGATGGTCGGGCGTCCTGCAAGTTGTGTGCTTTACTTTTGGGGAAATCGTAATGTGCCGGGTCTGCACTCACCTGGGATAGTAAATAATATTCTCGTATTTCTTGCCATCTTTGTACAGGAACTTTTTATTGTGTTTGCCATAGCTGCGCGCCAGTGTCAGGTTTAGCTGCAGCGGCGTCAATAGCCTAAGGGAGTTCATTTTATTTCACAAATATTAACAATTAAATAAATGAAACAGCCAAATTAGCAGCTGGGTTGGTTATGAAAGCGTGCCAGGGCTGCAACGCTGTTTTGCCATTCACACAAAAGCAAACGATTTTGCGCGCTATCGATAGTCAAATTGCTGGTGAAGGTGCTGTAAAATACACAATTACAACTTTAAGCAAAATCGTTCCATGAGCAAGACACTCTAGCTTAACAGAAATTAATTCTGAACACGATTTGAGTATTTCTTAGTAACAATTGCATTTCTTTATTCACACAAATGCAGTCGATAGTGCAGACTATCGATAATGAATTTACTGCTTCTAGTATTGTAAAAGGCGCAAATTGGACTCATTGCCGCCACCAACAGTTTTTTAAAAAGTTCAACTATGATCAAAACTGTTCCCTAAGCTTGAGCCTCTAATTTAATAGAAATTAATACTTTCTTGAAAAATAAACGACTCGTTTGGTATTTTTTTTATGCTATTCGTGTTTGCGTTTCCTAATGACTCACTGCTAGATGTGTTTATTATTTGTTTATGCCTAATTTGTACAAAAATTCTTATGCAAATTGGTTGGCATCCTTTTCTTAGGGGCGGTAACTGCCTACCACTATTAGCATAATCGACGCCATTTTGTTATTCTGATTGGCCCTTGGCTCTGTCGGGATGCTGTGCTGCCATTGGCTGCGCTTCTTCACGCAGTCCGGGGGTTGCAAATCCTTGACTCGCCGCGCTATAAATGATGCTGCAACATCCCAACATGGACACAGTTCGGCGGCAAAGCTTTCCGCGTGCAGGACTACATAATTCGATATCTCAAGTAAATCGTGTGATTGCGATTCTTGTAAGTAAACTAAACCAAATAAGGAACTTGTGATACATTTTTTTTTGTTGTTAATTTTTTTTTTTCAAAATGTGCGTGAATGTTATCTCTGGAGAATTGCAGAATAATTATGTCAAATTTGCCGCAGCCCTTTATGTGCGAGTTTTGAGTTGAAGCAAAGCCCATTAAACCGCAAATCACATAAGGGTTCGAATTTGTCAACTCCCGCGGGCCAAAATAAATGCCAAACGTGACGATTGTTCAGCTATTTGTGTAGGTGTGAAAATATGTTGCGAATAAACCCAACCAGAACAATAGCAACAAATGCGATAAGCACAATAAAAACAATATTAAAATGCAAACAGGACACGTGACCCTCGGGCGCGGGCGGGCGGTAGACAAACAAAAAGGGTTCGACAGGGCCCGCGCACCCTTTTTGTTCCATCCATAAATAATGCAACTCGCATACAAGCTGTTTACTATAAATGTGCTGCCTTAGGGGCGTGGCAGGTGCGGGGGCGTACGATAAACTGCAATCAAGGACATCTTCAGACTGTTCATCCATTTAACTATTTACCAGAAACCGAATCACAATATCCTTAATAATATATAGACATATATATATATATATATAAAATTGGTCACGATTTTGTCCCAAAGATATATAAGTTATGAAATCGAATCTAAAAAGTGGAAACAAGATATAGCATAGATCCATTTAGCTGCCCGGATCGGAGCACTATATCTCCGCAAACTAGACTCTTACATATCTTAAAGCTATTTTGAACAAACGTGGAAACAAGTCTTTCTGGCCCGGATCGGAGCACTATATCTGCCCAAACTAATCTCTTACTCAAGAAACCTAAAGCACAGGTCCCTCTTTCTAGGGGGATCGGAGCACTTTATCAACTTAAAGCTTTCCTACAGCTTTATTGTATATATAGGTCCATTTTTCGGCCCGGATCGGAGCACTATATCTCCGCAAACTAGTCTCAAAGCCAACTTGATGAGACCAAGAAACCTGAAAGCTGAAACATACGTTCGTCTTTTCGGGCGGATCGGCGCTCTATATCATCTTAAGGCTATATTGAAGGTTTTTTTTTTGTGATATGGCATAGGTCTGTCATTCCGGCCGGATCGTAGCACTAAATCAAATAGCTGGCATTTTGGTGATGGGTCGAAATTTACATTCTTTCTCGCCTTTCCTCAAGGCAGCCTATGATAATCCACTTTTTGCTCATGCTCGAAGATTCCGACTGTTCCTCAACTGTTTCCCAGTATGCCTCAAAGGCCTTTTGCGGCTCTAGACAGGTGAGAAAGGATGACAATCCTTTCCTTTCCAGTTCCTTTTGTAATAAGAAATATGGAATATGCAATATATATATATACGAGCTTATCATATTTTTGCACGATATCTAGCTTCTCCTTCTCCAATTTGCATAATATCGATAATTTTCGATAAGTATCGATTTCGATAGATTGTTGTTTAAGCATAATTCGAAGATTTGAAGAGCTAGACAAACACAACTTGTCGTGTAGGTTCTTGCATAGTAAAAAAAGATTAGAAATATGTCAGTTTTTTGATACTTTTCCCAAAAATGGAAAACCCTTTTTCCATAATAAGATAGAGCCTTGCGCTATGGATTTCCCAAACAAGGGATGGGGCAAAGGGGAAAGACAGAAGCAGAACCGTGAGGCAGCGAACCTTTTCTTCTTCTGAGACTTGCGACCATGGTGCTAACCAGAGCGAATCTTTGTCTAATCCCAAACAGTGGCCAGCATAGGCGAAGCAGGAGCAGCACAATATGGTGTACGACATGACACATCTGGCACCGGGGCCGCCGCAAAGCATCGCACTCAGCCGCTACTATATGGAGCCGGATGACGAACTGGCGGCGGCGAACAATGCGCTAACGAACGGACATGGGCATGGCCATGCCGCTGGCGAGGATTATGCGGCGAGCACAACGCTGGACATGGATCAGCGGTATCAGGCGCGCATTGCCTGCGAGACGGCCGCACAGCCGGCGCCGCCGCCGCCGCCAACGCCGGCGCCCCGACGTCGCACCACGCCCATCGCTCACCTGGATCCATCCGAGCTGGTGGGGCTGTCGCGCGAGGAGCGCCGACGGCGACGACGCGCCACGCTCAAATATCGAACGGCGCACGCGACACGGGAAAGGATACGTGTGGAGGCGTTCAATGTGTCCTTTGCGGAGCTGCGCAAGCTGCTGCCAACGCTGCCGCCGGACAAGAAGCTGTCCAAGATCGAGATCCTCAAGCTGGCCATCTGCTATATAGCGTATCTGAACCATGTGCTGGAGACACCCTGAGACGCCGCCAACGCCTCCAGCTGCAGCCAGTTGCCAGGCGCCATGTTTCTCAACACTTCCTAAAAAAACTAACCCTTAACTTAAATATATATTCTAGTCTTAGGTAATATGTACATTATTTTTTTTTGACTAGCATCTAATACGTGATATTTGTTTATATCCAAGTCCAAGAATAAATATTAATGCATATTTATATAATTATGTATATATTGTACAGCCTAACTCTGAGTTATTTCTGTTTATAAGCGCCTGGATACCCTGTAATCAAAATGTTTCCTGTTGAAAATTTCCCAATCTTCTAAATCTCCTACTTAATTCGATCTTTTGCCAGTAATAGATAAATATATAGACATATTCAAAATTTCTGTATAGAAGCACCTGCTAACCCACGCATACCCTGTAATCAAAATCTGCTTGTGAGCTAAAGGGATTCCCTCTGTTAAGAAAGACTCAATCTTCCCGATTATTAGATCTATAGCTGGGAAATTTTATATCACATATCTTCTATATATTATATGTATCTAAAATATATATTTAATCTTTAACATAATCCGCGCCATAAAGTTGTTATGGGGTCATAAGAAATCGCTCTCTTCTTTATCTATTTGCCTTTGCCCTTAGTCTAGTTTATGTTGACATTTAAAAAAGTTAAAAAACGAAAACAAATTTAAATAAAAAACCAAAAGCATTTCTAATTGTTATAGTTGCTTTCATAAATGATTTACAGCCTTAGCTCTTGCTACAGGGTATCCCGAATACAGTCATTCACAATTTTAGCAATATACTGATTTATAATTTCTATTTCTATAATTTCCAACGTTTTATTGCTTGTATTACTTTTACAGGGTATTCGCTAGTCCATCAGCTTGGCACATTTGTGCCGTTTTATTTGTTATTTTGCGGACTGAATGTCTCAGCTGGCGTTGCCAAGTTTTTCATTTGCTTTGCTGTCTGCAAACAAGCAGCCAGCTGCGGCTCAAACGCCCCAATTCCCCCCACCCCGCTCCCCACAGCCTCTCCGTCTCCCAACATAAGCTTATTGTGTCTCTCTCTCTCTTTCTCGCTCTCTCCTTTGGCTGCTGTGCGCACTGCAAGCCACGCCCCCAAGGAACGCCAAAATTACTTTGAATCAATGTGGGTGTTGCCCGTTACGTGTGTCTATGTGTGTGTGTGCGTGTGCGTCTGCATGTCAGTCTGTCTGTGTGTGTGTGCGTGTGCCTGTGCCTGCCCGTCTTTGTGTGTGCGTGCGCGTGCGTGTATGTGAGGTGCTTCGAAATAGTTCTCAATACACATGAATTTTATTTTCCGTTGAAATAGTTTCTAAATTGAGCCATTGAATAATTTATTTTTTGTAATCCTTTGTCAAAATTCGAAATTCTATGTACAAATGTCGTTCAACTTCAGCGCCATGCAGGTGAGCCTACAAAAAATTGCAATTGAACAACAAAACGGATGCTGCGGTTGCATCGCTGCGACCGCGTTGCCACCTGTGCACTTTTGCCGCTGTCTGGCAGCGCTGCGGCGACCCAATTGAAGGCGCCATCGTTGTTTTGGCGAGCGGTAACAGAAAATCGCTTGGTACGAGACAAAAGTATTCCAAGTTGTTGTCAAACAGTCGAGCTATCTATGTGCACGACTAGTCTATACCCTGTAAGGCAGCTGTCAGTTGTCAAAGAAGCCTTTTGGTCAGAGAAATTTCATGAAATCGAATGGGCGGCAATCGCTTGGCACGATCCATATATATTCCAAGTTTTCGAACAGCAGAGCTGCTTGTGTGCACGACTTGTATATACCCCGTAAAACCCCTATAGCCTGTTATGGAAGCGTGCAACTCAACTGATTGATTAGTACAATTGAAACATATCGAAAATGTAGAGTAGCTTATGTGCACGACGAGTCTATACCCTGTATTAGAGGACTTTTTAACCAATCTGTAAAGGAATTTGTTGCTTAATGTTTAATAGTTGAAACTTTTGGATATACAAGAGATACAACATTGTAGGCCTATATAAAATCCACTTTATAGGAGTTTGCTAAACATTCACAAGGCCAACAACTGTAATATAAACATGGCAACCGGCCCAGCGTGGCCCCAATCTGGGCTATGTTTAGCCCGAACAACCGTTAAAATACCAATAGGGCCCCAACTTGTCTCTTGTCTGAGTACCAGGCTCTACAAATAAAGGGCACAGCAAGACAGGCGATAAAAATAACCGCATACCGCATCAAGAAAAGGTCAACAATTCGCAGAGGCCCATTGATAACTGACCCGATTAAGGTTTAAAATAACCTAAGCTTAAATAAAGAAGTTATTATATAACTTCTATGCGATTTTGAAAACACCTTTAGTTACATGCGCTCTCCATATAGTTTAATTGCCATTTAACACATTTCTAATTGCATTAGTTTTCAGTTTTCGACGCCTTCGTCGCCTGTCAGCTGCGCTGTGCCTGTGTGCGTGTGTGTGTGTGTGACACGTACGCAGCTTTTGCATATTCTCCCCTCTCCACCATTTGCCGTTTCTTGTCACCTATGCTTCCGTTACCAATTCAATCCACACACTCACCCCCTCCCCCCTCTGATCGACTGCCCTGAGCACGAGCCTTCAGCAAGTTTGCCAAATAGCGACAGTCGAGTTTTATTTACTTGGTAACGGTAGGTAACGAATACCGTTATTGAGGCCCAACCGATTGCCATGCAACAACACATGCATACAGTTATTTTGGCATTACATATTATTCTGGCGCTTGCCATAAACAAGACGCGAAACTTAGTCCAACGGAATTTAACGTTTCGCGCACAGTCCAAGCGGGCACTGCAGGCGGTCAAACCAGTGTTGAGTATCGCTTCCTTATTTATTTTTTGATGAGGAACACTGCCCTTGCCCTGGTTGCATTTAATGGCATTTCAATTGCAATTACATGTGGACAGCTGTTTTGGACGAGCTGTTCGCGGCAAAATTGATTGGAAAACTGGCAAAGTGAAGAAAATGGCAAAGTGAAAACTCGGTTGAGCAGTGCGTGAAATTAGCTTAAGTGTTGCCCATCTATCCGGCTCTCGACAACAACAGACACGCCTCGTAAGTGTTTGACGAGGGGTGGGGCAGGGTGAGGTGAGTGTGCGGGTTGCGGGGTAGCTGGTGCACCAGTCGCCGCTGCACGTGCAGCTCCGGTAGCTTTTTGACTGTCTAATCCAGCAGCATGTGATAAATTGCACCCCAGAGGGTTGACATAAAAATCATCGCCACGGCTAAGGGTTTGTCCGGCTTAAGGCTGCACGGGGGGTGGGTGGGGGGCGGGCTGGTTCGCAATTGTCCCGTTATCTGTCTGGCATTGTCGAGCCAGCTTTGGTTGAACGCCTCGGCGGCCTTTGTTGCTAATTGAGTTTAAAATCAATTTGTATTTTACGCTTGGTCAAGTAGCTCCGGGATCGATGAGCCGCAATCCAGCCCGGTCCCGGCCTGTTGTGTAATTGCCGTGCAAATTTAATTACAATAGCAACGCCTCACAACAACAGGCCCACTCCTCCGCCCAGTTTTCCCCCATGGTCACGGCATCTGCATAGCGTACGACGTGCTGCGCCCGGTTCGCACGCACTCAATCAAGCCGGAGCACATTGCTCACAGCCTCTTCATCAAGTGTTGACAACTCTGCCACGTGCTGTGGTCGTGTGGGCGTCGCGGCGTCGGGGCGTGGCCTGGCGTATTGTATTACCAGCCGCAATTTGCATTTAATTGAACTGACGTGCGCGTGGGAAGCTCCGGCAAGAGCCAACTCCGAACCGGCTGCTGCACTTGCTCGATGCAGCAGCAGCAACAGCTGCTCACCGAAAGCTCTGCTGATAAATGATTCCACATGACTTTGATCCATGGCTGAAGGCGAGCAAAGGACTTAACGTCTGCCAGCAATTGCCAGTTCCAGTTCCGGTTCCGGTAGATACCCTAGGGCCAGAGTTAAACGGGGTAGATTGACAGCCGTGTTTAGTAAACGATCTGCACATAAAAAGTTATCAGAGCTACTTTCTGAATTCCTAACTAATTAGATAACACATTTAGCCAAGCACTTCGATTTCTTCTTATTGGATTCCTAATAATACTATTATTAACATATGATTCCTTCAGTTTCTCAGTGTAACCCAATATGCACAACTGTACTTGGTTTTCTAGTGTAATCAACTTTTGGCTGAGAAATGGGGAATCGAGGACTATTCCAATTATTTCATTAGACTAGAATTCCCTATTATTTCCGTACGACTTGATTTATGAAAATTGCTTAACGAATATTCTTAAATTTATAGACGAAGGAAACATTAGATCAATAATTTTCGCTTGGCGCCCGAGCAGGGACAATTTTAAAAATGATGCTAAAAATCAAACCGAAATCAGTTTTAACTTTTAAAACCTGTAATTAAATGCATTTATCATCTAAGTGAAATAGATATCTAGGGTATATTGCAGTCGTGTATTTGTTCGCGCAACTCATGTCGTCTGATTAGGCTTGTTGTTTCTGTTTGGCGTCTGTTTAAAAAGGCAAACACAAACAAGGCATTAAGTGGCATTAGACAAAATGCCTTTTTTACACATGTTGCAGCACGGAGATTACGATTACGCCGTGTAATCGTCGCATTGGGGGTTGCTCGGAGGGTTGGGTTCGGCTGCTGCTTCATTTTTTTATGGGCTTGGCTTTTTATCAATTGGTTTGCTTAGCGGCCATAAATAACAGTTTTAGTTGGCAATCGAAACAGGTGGCCAACTGGCCCACCTAGCTTAACTCTCTTCCTCTCGCTCTCCCTCCCTCTAACTATCTGTCCGTCTCTGTCTGTGCAGTACGAGCGCGGCTTTCGCGCGAAGAGCGTCAGCAATTGGGAATATCCGCGCTTCTTTGCGCCCCGTCCACGCAGCCTGAAGGGCAACTCGAAGCCCGTTGCCGAGAAGAACGGACATCTGCTGGCCACAGCCGCCCGGTAAGTCCCAACCAGCTGCATCCACACACACACACACACACTCACACTAATCTATGCCCACAGTGAGGGCAACTTTCTGGGCCAATATCGGGGCACATATCACCTGCCGTTGCGTATCACGCGCAGCTTTGCCAGCTTGTACAATCGCTGCCTGAGCGGCAGGCACAAGTATTGGAAATATCCGCGCGATCTGTGCTGTTGCCAGCGCGAGCGACCGCATCCGTGTGATCTGCAGAACACGCTGGGCAGAAAGGACGATCCGGCCTGGCAGCGTCCCACGTGCCAGACCAAGTGTGAGGGCCTCAAGCAGATGCTGGCCATCAACGAGCTGCATCTCAAGTGCAAGCGTACCAAGTGCCAGCCGAGGGTGAGTAAATCGAATCAATCAATCAATCATGATGATTGACCTGAACCACCTGCACCATCCACACACACACCCACAGCCCAATGAGAAACTGATACCACGCGTCGGTGACGCCTCGTCACGGTTTCGAAAGAAGCTGCGCAAGCGTCCGGTCACCGCCTTCGAGTACAATCGTCGGGGCACTGTTGCGCAAGAGGAGCCGACCTCCGATAAGACCAAAGCGAAACAGATCACAAAGGATGCGGCCAAGGCACCGGCCGTAACTTTAAGTCAAACCAAGTCGACGGCCAAGTCAACCACCAAAGCGCCAACCAAATCAAAGCCAACATCCAAGTAATGCTCTTTAATTGGTTGAATAACAGTTTCGGGCGAAAGACCTTTCAATAAATCCATTGCACCCATAGCCTGGCTGTACAGTTCTGTTATTCCAATCGTCTATCGATTCTCAAACAGATCTTCCATTGGATATTGCCCGGTTTCCAACAGCTGCCAACTCTGTCGGTCAGTCAATAAAGCACTTGGGAAGTAATTCAGTCAGCTAGTCAGTCAATCAATCAATCAATTAGTCAACGAACCCAACAGCCTATCAGCCAGCCAGTTAATCAATCAGCCTGGCAGCTATTCAACCAGTCAATCAGCCTGCAAACCGGTCAGACGGACAGTCAATCATTCAATCCGTTAGCCAATCAGTCGCTCAGTCGACCAATCAGTCAGACAGGCAGTAAGTCAATCGCTCAGCGAAACAATCAGTCAATCACTCAGCCACAGTCATTCAGTCAGGCAGTCAATTCGTATCAATCTGTCGACTAGTCAGATAACGTGTCAGTTTGTCAATCAAGAAAATAAGTCAATCAGTCGGCTAGGCAGTCAATCAGCAGGTCAATCATTCAATTTGTCAATCAATCAGCCCGTCAATCAGTTTTATATATAGACAAGCACTGCACAGAGCACGTAGCACCCAATCATAATCAATCACCATCAATCACTATCAATCATCATCAATCCTCATTAATCATCATCAATCATGCGGCATCTTCAATCCCATTTTCAATCACAACAAAGAACACACTAATTGAGACTTGAATCCTGAATCTCTTGGACCATGTCGCAAGCAGCTGTCGCCCGTAGCGGGAATTACAAGTTGCCGGATCTGAGCTATACACCGGGCGATTTAACGGAGCCGGAGTACCGATTGCCAACACACCAGCAGCTGCTGGAGGAGAAGAATCGCGCGCCGCAGCATGACCTGGAACGGGAGCTGCTGCCACTGAGCCGGCTGTATTTGACGGAGCAGGAGGACAAATATCCGGCGACGCGGGCGGAGACGTCACGTGCGGTCACCTCGGCGGCGGGACGACAATTTCCGGTGCTAGCCGCCGCGCAGGCCAAGTACACGGGTCAGCTGAACGGCAGCAACAGCCACAGCGCGTCCGAGTTGGAATTTGTGCCCGGCAAGGATCTAATCTCGCTGCCCAGTGTCCAGGCGCCGGCGGAAGCGGAGCCAGCCCGGAAAATGCCGCTGCACTCGATCACAGCGAAGCCGAACGAACGCTGCCCCTCGCCGGTGGTGCCGGCCTATGCCAACTTCGAGCTGGCCAAGCGCATGCACCAGGACAATCTGGATCACCAGCCGCTGCCCGATTGCGTTGCGGATCTGGCGTATCGCCGGGCACAGATAGGCGGCGCCCATGGCGGGCTCGCGCTAGACATTGATCCGATTGCGACGGGCGTGGGCATTAAGACGCACAATGCGGGACCGACGCACTGCACCAAGATGAAGGTGTTCCGGCCGAAGACGGGCGGCGTCCTGCCCAAGGCATTGGCCGGTGACAATTATCGCGGCATTGGCTCGGCGCCCGCCAAGAAAATGGGCGCCATGGATCTGGCCATTGGCTGGGACTTTAAGCCCATCAATCCGGAGGATGAGCCGCGTCTGGCCAGGCACATAGACGGCTCCAATGACTCCGCCGGACCGGCTGTGTTCACGTGCGTGAAGACACCACGCGACGATCCGCCCGCTGGCGCGGAGCTGGGTCGCTCGGCGGGCGTCTTTACCAGCACCCTGGGCGAGCCGGATTTCTTTGACAAGGATCTGCTGCGCCGCAAATCCGACTTTGCGGGACGCGCCATCGAGCGCGAGGAGAACTGCGCCTGTGACTATTCGCCGCCAACACGAGCGCGCAGCGTTTCGCGCGATTCCAGCGCCTCGCATTGCCGGCGCGCTCCGGCTTTTGGTGGAGGAGGAGGAGGAACAGGCGGAGGTGTTAGCTTTGGCCTGCCCGCCAATCGGCTGGCCAAACAGTATCAGTCGACGCCACTGCTGGGCGACCAGGCGTACCAGGCGCTGCGCGAAAAGTACCTCGGCCCGGACACCGACTCGCCGCATGGCTGCCAACCGGGTCCCGCCTCCGGCTGCAAGCGGGATCAGCTGCTGCGCCGGCCGGCGCGACGCCTCTGCCATAAGGTGGCGCCGGCGCCCAACTGCTGCACCGCCGCCCATAGCTGTGATCATGGTCATGGCCATGCTCATCATGGTCATGGACATTGTCTGACCAGCAAGGCGGCCTTTCGCGCCGGCATGCCCAGGCTGAATGCCAGCGGCGATTTTGTGGGCATCTCACCTGGCTGTGGCGGTGCCGGCGGTGGTGGTGGTGCTGGTCGCGTTCTGGTCGTGCCACGCCCCCGCCAGCCATATGCAAAGAAGAACTATGACATCGATACACTGGTGCCGCCATTTCGCAGCCAGGGCGGCGGCGCCGGGCAGGGCGGCTATCCGGAGCACTGGCGTCTGGCCAGCGTCTATCAGCACGCCTACAAGCCGATCGAACAGCGCCGGCGACCGCTCCTGCAGACCGTCTACAAGTAGATCGGGGGCTTCCCAACACCTGTCGAGGATCTTCCGGGTTCTTTTATAAACGTCTCCCAGTTTGTCATCTAGACTCTTTTTTTTATTGATGCGGGAATCTTCAAATTCCATTTCCAACTAAAAAAAAAAAACAAAATGGCGTCCATAAGTTAGGTTATGCTAAGGTATCTTATCAGATAGAATAATTTGAGCTTTTCCAGAAAGATATGAGGATTTTAGAGCCTAGTCCTCATAAGGATCTTAGGGTTCTTCTTATCTTCTAATACCATAAAGAATCAAAAACAAAATGGCGTCCATAAGTTAGGTTATGTTGAAGTATATTGTTATAAGGACTTTGGTTCATAAAATAGTCTTCTAAAATGTAGGCACTCACAGAAAAGGACCAAGACCTTAAACTAAAAGAAACCTATTTATAGCCTTGCAGAGGGTACCTTATTTTAGAAGAAGAATATGTAAGGCATAGAAGGACAGTTCTAGGACTCCATAGCGTACATATGTATATATACCTGATCAACAGCCGAGTCTATATAGTCTGTCCGCTTCATAGTCCCTCAGAACGAATCTTGGGGGAAGTTTTCGTAGGATCCCAAATGAAACCCTATATCATATAGCAAGCATAGAAATGATCAAAAGTTAAATTCTTATATCAGAAAGTTGCATGTTTTTCAAGATATCTTAACCAAACGTGACGTTTTGTTCCTTACATATGATCCAGGCCCGTATCCACATCCACATCGGATGACTTTATCATATAGCTCCATAGGACGAATAAGTTTTTTAGATCTCAAGCTTTTCTGGTTTTCTCAGAGTTTTTCTCATTTCAAAGTTTCACCATAGTCCCTAAATATGTACTAAATCTTGTCGAGAACAGAATATATATTATATATAGGAACGATCTATAAAGAACTATGTGAAATATTTAACAAAAATTTGGTTTTCCTATGAAAACTGCTGTCACTTTTTTAAGATATCTTGATATATATATATAAAATATCTGCAAAACCGTCGGACCAATATATATATATATATATAGATATTTATATATATATAAATCTTTCGTCTTAAAGTAGTTCTGTGCCGCATATTGACAAGAATATTTTCGGCATGCCGAATATATTCGTTCTTTCCCGTTACATAACCTCACTTTTAATATATAAATAAACATTTAAAATTAATTTTTTTTTTTGAAGCAAAAACTAGCATAGCAATAATTTGCTCACATTCAAGTAAAAGTTCGTTTTAAATTGTGCATATATAACGTTTATATAAAAAAAAAAAACAAATGTATAAAAGTGCAATATACATAAAAAAAAGTTATATAAATAAATGTGCAAAACAAATCCAAAATTTCGATTTTTATAAAAGTTGAGTTAACTGACAAGGATCAACATATATGTGAGGACTCATTAAAAAAGTATCAGGCCAGAAAACTGGCAAAATATTTGCATGCCTTGCAGATCTTTTCTAATAGTTCAGAAATAAATTCCAAAATTAATTTATAGTTAAATTAACATATACAAAAATTAAGTTGGGCAAATGTAATGCCGATTAATAAATAAAATATATATATTCTTAAGCCGAGTTCAAACTTTCCGACAAAATATCTGTTCTTTTGTTGCGCTAAAAAAAAATTCAAGCACATTTCAAATCTTACAAAAATTAAAGAAAAAGATTTGATAGTTGATCAAGATAAGTTCAGATTGTGCTATATATATGGCGGTATATAGACATTCGGCTTTTAAATCAAGCATATGTAATGCTCTTCAAAATTCCAGTTGGAAAAAAATCGGCTTGTTCAACGTTCTATTTCTTCCAGGTAATGTCTACCTGATGACAAGGGTTATTCAATCTTGCAAGGGTATTTAATAGTCAGCTTAAAAAGCAGCTAAATTCAATGCTGAAAACAGCCAAAAATATCTGAACTATCAGCCGTAGCTGCCAGCTAAAACTTACGCTTAAAATAGATAAAATAATAAGAAAAAAAAAATACGCAGCCAAACTTCGGTTCGGTTGCATTGTAGACAATCTTTGGGTGCTAAAGAACTTGCTTAGGTTTTATGCCTGGGCACAGGTAAATGCCGCCGTTCACTTGGCCGTCGCATAGGCATCCTGGCTCTTGTGGAACACATGACGGAGCACGTCGCGCGTGGATCGGCGAATGCTGTTGCGCAGCGTGTGCTTCTTCTCGTTGGTCAGCTGCTCGATGCGCATATATTCGGTTTGCGGTATGCTGGAGCGCAGCTTCATTGTCCGCTCGCTGCTATCCACGATGGAGATGTCCGCTTGGGTGTACTCCTCCACGGGCTGCGGCTTGTGCGGCCGTCGGCGCAGGCTGTGCCGTATGCTGCTCATGATATTGTTGTGCGGCTGCATTGCTGGCTTCTCCGCGGACTCCATCGGCTGTTCCTGCTGCTGCTGCTGCTGCTGCTGCGGCTGCTGCATGGGATGCATTAGCCTGCGTATGGATTTGCGTATCATGTTTCTGACGCCATGGCCCGCACTGCTGGCACGCAGGTCCACAGATTTGGCCGATTTGCTGGATGCTATCGAATGCAGCGATTCTTTGCTGCCGGCAACTGTTGCTGCCGGGCGATAGGCGCGCACAAACCTTGCCGGCGCCTTGAAGTCCAGCTCAATATCATTCTCCTCCTCCGGTTCGGATTCGGAAGCATATGCCACATCGCCGTTTTCAAGCTCCTGCTCGACAGTTGTGTGATTGGGCTCCTGCTCGACAACTGGCGGCTGGGCTGGCAGCGCCTGTTCGACAATTGCTAGCTGAGGCGGCTGAGGCTCCTGCTGCACTGGCTCCTCCGGCGCCTCCATGATCTCGGTCAGAGTGTGTCTGCGCGTGCACACAACGCGTTGTTCCAACTCTAGCGACGGTTTCTGCTCCAGCACCACCTCCAAATCCGTCTGTGTTGTCTCCAGCACAACGCCATTCTTGCGCAGCTTGGCCTCGTTAATGCTGTTCTCCAGCTCCAGCTGATAACGATCCAGTTCCTTGCCAATGTCCATGCTGCTGCTCTCCTCGCTGATGGCACCCAGCGACTGTTTAGCCGGCGGTAGCACGGGCGAGAAGACCAGCTTTTCGGCCAGCAGCTTGCTGGGCGTCAGCTGCGCCAGCGACATGCCATGGAAATCAATGCGGCAGCCCAGTGTGGGCGTGAATGGTAGCCCGATTTTCAAGCTGGTCGGCAGCGGCTCATCGGCCAGTGCGGGATTGGCAACGCCCGACGGATTGCTAGCTGCAGTCGAGATATCGCTGCGACGATGTATCTCAAAGGGATTCAGCGAGGCGGGCGCATCGCTGCCGCGCAAATTGAGCGCCTCGTTGACAAAGCACTTGGTGGGCGTGGCAACGCTACGTACCACCTGCAACAGGAAGTTGACCGTTATGGGGCATATATAGAGAAAGGAATTAAAGCAATCATACCTCGTAGGGATTGAACTGGCGCTCGGGTAGCTCAAGATTGAGGCCCGGATTCTCAAAGCAGGCGTGCTCGCGCTTCTTTTTCTTGGAGGGCTGACGCACAACCTCAAAGGGATTGACTGGTAGCTTCTGCTGCTGTCGTTGCTGTTCCTTCTGCTGCTGCACGACCGATAAGTCCGCAATAGATTTGATTTCCAGTCCAGGCTGATTAATAAACGGATTTAGGCTCTCATTCTCTTTGAGCAGACGACGACGCCCGACAAGTTTCTTTGGCGTTGAGCTAAATGCAGCGTTGGTGAAGCATGACGACGCACTAGCTGCAACAGCAGCTGCCACTTCGCTTTTTAAGGGTGGCGGCAACGGGGCACAGCCAGTTTCTCGTTTGCGTTTGCGCGGCGTCTCGTTGAATGCCAAAGCAGAGATGCTCTTGGTTTCCAGCATTTTTGTCAGCTTCGAATGCAATTCAATTAACTTATAAGCACACCTTTAAGTACGTTAATCTAATCACACGTTTTTTTTTCTCACTTGCATAAAGGAAATAACTCACAAACAATAAATGTACACAAAAGCCAATTGTACGTCTTAAGCGATGCGCACCATTTTGAATTCAGAAATTGAGTGTTGCAAAATGCTCGACTCTAACCTATAGACTTTGCGATAGCTAAATGCGCAATTTCATTGTGAATATCAAGTGATAAGAAGCAGAACACTCACCTTTGCGCAATTTTAAAATTTTCCGTTAAATTATCTATATTCAAATTACTTCTTTTATAACCATAACATTTAGCGTTTATGTAACTTAACACTCATTTGGTTATTTATAAATGCTTATATATTTAAGCATATGAGCATGAATATATCGATATGTTCACTATCGTTGTTTTTTGGTGCTTAAAACATGTGTATAACGTTTCCTACAATTGTTTTTAACTCATCAAACGGCTTTTTAATTTGTATTCAAATTTATTTAGTTAAGATTTCTATTAAAACCATTCATAAAAATATACATCGATATAAGACAATACATATCGATAGGCGGCTTGCGATTATTTCAACGTAACACGTGTGCGGCGACCAAAACGGTAAAAGGCGAAAAGTAGCAGCAATTTTTGCAGCTGCTGTTGGTGTGTGTGTGTTCGGTGTGTTCCTGTTCCGTTGTAAAGCAGCAGCCCGTCGTCTAGCAGCAGCCCCCCAGAAGCCCGGACCAGCGTTAAAAAAGCTCAACAAATGCAAATTGGTTTCGATTCTTGTGCGTGACACGTTTAGTTTTTTTTATATCATCCAAAATTTAAAGGTGAGATGTTGTGCTATATTAAACAGCCGTGGAAAATTCAATAATGCGCACACACATTCATATATATATAGATATATATATATATATGCACATAAATGTCTATAAGCATGTGTGAGTGCGCGTGTGTGTTGTAACAGTCGGGCAAGTGTGTTGTCTAACGCGTGTATGTGTTGCAATTTCACCCCTTTCCCCGTATCGAACTGCAGTCCTGCTCCCACCTACTGCAGTCTATCAGCTGCAGCGGAATTCCTTTGTGCAATTCGTACAAAGCGAACGCGCGGCGTCTCCCATCAACCAAAAGTGATTCATTCAAAAATGCGCTAATGTAGGTGAAATGTGGCTCAGCAACAAGAGAAAAAAAAGCATAAGTCGGCAACGCGGCGCAAATTGTTAAAACGTATTTTGAAAAAAAAAGAAGAAAAGTAACGCGTTGTTCACCGATTTGGCGTTTTATTGAAACAGTTGCTTCTAACACGCATGTGGCGCCATCTGCTGTGGAGACAGCAGCGTCTGCTTTCGCAGTAAATTTCCGCTGCCCGCTTCACATGTTCTTTTCAATATTATTGAAACTGGATATAGAACACAGTGTTGCAAACGCCAATATTTGCGCTTGTATAGGTGATCACAAATCAGCAGTGTCGGCGGCACTTTTCATACTGCTTCCTCGTCTCGATGCGGCTTTCGCTGCACAATTCGTGTTCCCCCGCGAAGAGCCGAAGTGTGCTTTCTAAAAGCACAAAGTTATCAAGCGTGTCGAAATTCCAATTTCGTAAAGATCTTTCTAATCAAAAAATAGTTTATCTTGTCTAAACATATATTTAAAAACTAACTGATTGCCTGAACCAAGGCACGACTACACACGTTTTTTAAATTTACTCAGCACTCAGAAGGTTTTTTCAAAAACGTGAAATTTGGGTGAAAAAGCTGCAGTTCGTAACGTATTTATGTCGAGAATTAATTATCCTGCTGCTCTCATCAGCTTTAAACTTTTCTTCTTCGTTAAATACCTGTATTACCTGTATCACAATTGTCTTCGGCTTAGCAAAAAAAAAAAAAACGAATTTTAAAGCTCTATATAGGAAATGTACTTCATTTGAAAAACGCGCCATTCATAACTTGTCCCCAATCCACTCTTACTCGCGAAAAATGGGTGAATGAGCGCTAACTGAATTGGGCGCAGGCAAAGCTTCCGTATATTGCCCAGAGAGTTAACATTATTAATGTTAATTTTACGTATTTATCTAGTATTTTCTGCTAAAAATGTTAACTGTTTTTTTTCCCTCTCTTGTCATTTACAGCACTCACACACACACACACACACACGTACATACACAGGCGCAGGCGTGCACATACAGGAACTATATAAATATCATATTTATATTTTAGGCAAAAACAAAACATACATATTTCGATTTGGATACCCAAAAGTATTGTTGTATAACACATAACGTACAGAGAATAGCAGCATAAGGAAGGAGAAGAAGATAAAAGTAAAAGGGGAGCCAAAATGCCATCGGACGCTAAGAAACGGGATGCGCAACGCAAAAAGGATGCGCGCAACAAGAAGATCCAACAGATACCATCCACAAAGAAATCAAACGGCACAGCCAATGGCCTCGACCGTGAAATGACCGAGGAGGAGAAACTGTGCGCCAAACTGGAGGAGGAGGCGCGCATCAGTGCAGAGGCGCGTTCCTGCACCGGTTCGCTGGCCGTGCATCCGCGATCGCGTGATGTGAAAATTGCCAACTTTTCGATAACGTTCTTTGGCTCCGAGCTGCTGCAGGACACAATGCTTGAGCTGAATTGCGGGCGGCGTTACGGTCTGATCGGACTGAACGGCTGCGGCAAATCTTCGCTGCTGGCGGTGCTTGGCGGCCGGGAGGTGCCCATACCGCCGCACATTGATATATTCCATTTGACGCGCGAAATACCGGCGAGCACGAAGAGCGCACTGCAGTGCGTCATGGAGGTGGATGAGGAGCGCATCAAACTGGAAAAACTGGCCGAGGAGCTGGCCATGAGCGATGAGGATGATGCCCAGGAGCAGCTCATCGATATCTATGAGCGGCTCGATGACATGTCCGCCGACCAGGCCGAGGCCAAAGCGGCGCGAATTCTACACGGTCTCGGCTTCGACAAGGCCATGCAACAGAAGCAGGCCAAGGACTTTTCAGGTGCACATTCGTTTCTCTCTCTTTCTCTCTCTCTCTCTCACACACAAACTGTTTGCTAATCCGTGTTGCTTCTGTTTGATAGGTGGTTGGCGCATGCGAATCGCTTTGGCGCGCGCTCTGTTTGTGAAGCCGCATCTGCTGCTGTTGGACGAGCCGACAAACCATTTGGATCTGGATGCCTGTGTGTGGCTGGAGGAGGAGCTGAAGACGTATAAGCGCATTCTGGTGCTCATCTCGCACTCGCAGGACTTTCTCAATGGCGTCTGCACGAATATTATCCATTTGACGGGCAAGCGTCTAAAGTACTACACGGGCAACTATGAGGCTTTTGTGCGCACACGCATGGAGCTGCTGGAGAATCAAATGAAACAATACAATTGGGAGCAGGATCAGATAGCGCACATGAAGAACTATATTGCACGCTTTGGTCACGGTTCCGCCAAGCTGGCTAGGCAGGCGCAGTCCAAGGAGAAGACTCTTGCCAAAATGGTCGCTCAAGGTCTCACCGAGAAGGTAACCGACGACAAGGTCCTCAATTTCTATTTCCCCTCGTGCGGCAAGGTGCCGCCGCCCGTGATTATGGTTCAGGTGAGTTGTCACTCCCAAATGCTTTTAAGGCACATCCAAATAATGCTTAAAATCTTCTCCTTTGGCTGACAGAATGTCAACTTTCGATATAACGACGAGACACCTTGGATCTACAAGAACCTAGAGTTTGGCATTGATCTGGACACGCGTCTGGCTCTGGTGGGGCCAAACGGAGCTGGCAAATCGACCTTGTTGAAGTTGCTTTATGGCGATCTGGTGCCCACCTCGGGCATGATACGCAAAAATTCGCATTTGCGTATTGCACGCTACCATCAGCATCTGCACGAGCTGCTCGATCTGGATGCCAGTCCGCTCGAGTATATGATGCGCGCCTTTCCCGATGTCAAGGAGAAGGAGGAGATGCGTAAGATAATTGGACGTTATGGTTTAACCGGACGACAGCAGGTGTGCCCCATACGTCAGCTATCGGATGGTCAACGTTGTCGCGTTGTATTCGCCTGGCTGGCCTGGCAGGTGCCGCATCTTCTCTTGCTTGACGAACCGACCAATCACTTGGACATGGAGACCATTGATGCACTGGCGGATGCCATTAACGATTTTGATGGTGGCATGGTGCTAGTTAGTCACGATTTCCGTCTGATCAATCAGGTTAGTTTAACAGCTCGCACATGCCTCGAACAGATCGAACTTCGTTTGAATGAATCGCGCTTCGTTCGATGTATTGTTTTTTTCAACACTTCTTCGAGCTCGACTCAATGATAGATCAAAATTCTAAACTTTTGATATATTCTTTTGCAGGTGGCCGAGGAAATTTGGGTGTGCGAGAAGGAGACGGTGACCAAATGGAAGGGCGGCATTTTGGACTACAAGGATCACTTGAAGAATAAAATTACCTCCGAGAATGAGAAGAAGGCCAAGGCGGCGAATAAATAGATTGCACACATGCACACAACAAACACAACACTCACACACACACACACGCACACACACACACACTCACACTCAATACAGTCATAGGTTGATCCTCTTTCTAACTTTTTCGCTCGCTCGTTCTGCGCCTCGCTCTTTCTTCCATAAGCATGCGTGTGTGCGTTGTGCGAAATTAGTTTTGAGTTTACACTACGCTATAGTCAAGTCATGTAAACTGTTCAACATCAATAAACTACACACACACACACACACAAACAAACAACAAAAATAACACACAAATTTATAGGTGAATTTTTTTCCGTTTTCTGTGTCGATTTAAATTAAATAAAATGTGAGTCAAAAAAAACAACCAACAAAACGACAACAACAACAACAACTACAAAACTGCTTGTGATCTTGAGCTAAAGCCACGTTCTCAATATATTGTTCACAAATACAAACACACACACACACTGTAACACATTCATGTTGTGCACAACAAACTGTACAAAATGTTGCAAACGTGGCTTTGGCTATTTAATTATTATTTTTTTTTTTTTTGTATTTTCTTATTATTATTTTTAAAATAAATAATATAATTTTTATTTTCAAAATAAAATTCTTTGCTAGGTTTCAAATTGTTTAACGCTCGAAAACTATACAAAAATACGAAAAAAAAAACATATAGTAAATATATATACATATGTGTGTATGATATGCATAAATATACAATTAACAAATTGCAAGACCAGTAAATGTTACTGCTACTGCCCGGCCACGCCCCTTTGCCCCCCATAGCCGCTGATAGCCGCAGCCCCCAGACACAGGCAGCAGCCGCCGCTTAGAAATTCTAAATATTTAATAACGATATATGTAATACAAACTGATGAAATAACAGATTTTATAGGTTATAAACAATTGGAAAATATTTGTTGTGCTAGACTTAAAATCGCAGCAAGTTTTTTTTTTTTTTTATATATACAAAACAAATTATAAAACTAAACGAAACGATACGTTTTTTTTTTAGGCTCAAGCGAATGATATAATAAAATATTAACAAAGAAAAATGGAACATTTTAGGGTTTATATGTATCGTAAAAATTGTTTGAATAAAAAATATACATACATATACATATACAATACATGCGAAATATGAAATAAAAGAAAAATACAAATTAAATAAACAATTGGAACTAATACAAATAGACAACGCAAATGGGAATGTGTTTATATTGAAATCATTTTCATGGAAGAAAGAAATTTGCTTTACAATTGAAATTGTTTGATTTGTAAAAATTGACAAAGCTTAGGAACACGTTCTGTTTTTTTTTTTTAATTATAATAAGAAGCCAAAGTACATTTATTAAAGGAAGTTTTATTGTGTACGTTTTTGTTTTCTTTCGTTCTGTTATTGTACTTTCGAGCTTCATATATATATATAGATATATATATATATTCATAATTCTATAGTTATGCATATGCTTAAATGCGTATGCGTATGCGTATTTCGCTTGTGAGTTGCATCGTCTAGGCACGTTGAAAGGTTTGTTGGTAGACTTGTTTACACTTAAGCGATATTTCATATGCTAAAAATATGCTATATTGTACAGAGTTTATTGTGTTTTGTATTTTCTTTTTTTTTTATATATATATATATTTTTTTTGTTTTAGTAGAGAGCTGTCGAGCTCCGTGCAACGGATCGAGCTGCTCTAGTAGATCTTGGATAGTTCGGAATAGATGGTCTTGAGCAGCTGGCGCTCCTGTTGGCTAATCGAGATATTCTCGGCACCAAAATCACGTAGCAAATGCTTCAGATCGCACATGTTGCGCTCGACCCAGGCGCAAATAATTTCGGCTAGGCCATATTGTTGCTGGATTGGCACAGAAGCGCCGGGCCGCTCGACCGGCTCATTATTATAGCTAAGGCAAGCCGATCCCAATTGTGGCGGCTCGTACTGGGCCAGTGTATAATAGTATTCAATTAATTTAATGTGTGCAGGCGATTGGCGTGAAGGCGGCAAATTTAGATGCACCAGCAACAGCAGGCGTAGCACCTCCACGCGACGCAACAGCTCGCCATACATGAGTGGCTTGCGGCGCTCATAAATATTGTCGACAATGTCATCCAATTGCAGCAGGGCGCCACGATAATCCTCGCGCTGCATGCTCATCTCGGCGCTTATTTCCAGATCATTGATTTGATGTGTGGGCGAGGCAAAGCTGCTTGTGCGCTCCAGTTTGCGCTTCAGATGCTTCAGTTCGCGCAGCACGGCTGCCTTGAAGACGCCGCTATCGGCGACACGTTCGGCAGCCTTGTTGTAGCAATGCAGGGCGCCCTCACGGAAGCCGTTGTGGCCGCTGCGCAAGTGCAGCTGGCGAAATTCGTTGTGTGCTAGGAGAAAGGCGCGTGCACCCCGCACATATGCCTCGGCTTCACGTTGCGGTGTGCCGCCATATGATTCGCATTTGGCGAAACCAATGTGACACATTGCCGCATATTGCATGATGCCCGATTCCTCAAAACTGTAGGCCAGACGCTGGAAATCGGCCTGCACATCGGCCACATTGGGCGCAAAGCGTCTGTCAAATATGAATTATGCATTTGGCCACGTGAAAATGTATGAACAAAAATGCAGCATTTTATTACTCACTTGAAGAAAACAACACGTTCGATTTTTTTAATTTTTGTTGAGGCGCGAAGATATTGTTCAATGGGGTTCTTCGGGTATTGCTCGAGTTGATGATGATGATGATGGTGATGGTGATGATGATGATGCTCCGCCGGCTGCCCGCTGGCAGTGCTGTTGTTACGTAGTTTTTCCATGATTTTTATTTTGATTTTCAAGTGCTATACATTATATTCTGCTCTTATTATAAATGAATTTGTCAAAAAACAAAAAATAGTAACAGCTTTTCAAGTGTTGTACAGTGCTTGCCCAAAAATGTTCGACAAATAATGCCAAGGTAACGTTCAGCACAGGTAAATCTCTAGACACGTGTGACGTCAGAACGTGTTGCCATTTAGTTCATTCAGTTTGAAATTCTTTTTGGCAAAATACCAATTATTTTACAAGCCTACTTTCAAATATCATTTGCTTGTGCAGCCAATGGCAAATATGCGCAAGTGATGCCAAAGCGTTCAGTGAAATTAAAATGGCAATTTACTTGGCGTTACCTGATCATATTGCTACGCCATGGTTGTTGGACGTTAGCCAGCACTATGCCGCACAGCTGTTTAAGCCCATGCATACAGCGCCATATTCTTGCAAAATCGTAGAACAGAAGGTAGAAAAATATTGCAGCGCACGCCACACGTTCACGCGCCGCAACGCATTTAATTAAAATATACTTATATATATATATATATATCTATATCAGAGTGTTTTATCAATATAATTGATTAGGCGGTATCTAAAATGGCCATTGCCGAGCACGATAACGTATTCATTTTTGTGCCAAATCTGATTGGTAAGTTGTCGTTTAGTAAACAAATGTGACGTCAAGTATAGTGGGCAATACTCGTGTGAAAGGAAGCAAAATATTAATGTGAATGCGAATTTCGTACGTTCGGTTAAATGACAAGCTTGAAAATGTTTAATGTATAAGGGATAAATATGTTATGTTCAACTTAAATTAATTAGACAAAAAACTGTATTTTTGTGTAACTTTTGCATTGTTTTTTTTCCCCCTGTCAATTCGTTTGCGCGTCCACGGTGCTAAGTGTGTACGGCAGCCAACAACAAATGTGTATACATATTAATGTTGTTGTTGTTATGCTAGTTCCCTAATTCAATTAGCTGTCGTTGGAGGCTCTAGCGCTGCAACCTGTCAAATGCAAAACCTACTGCCGCTAACACCACTACAACCCCTCATCGTCCAGCCACTAAGCAATGTCACCCACAGCGCCATCTATGTACACACACATTATCGATTGGAATGACATTTGTTGATTAATTTGCGTGTATTATTATTGCTTGACGAATTGCAGGTTATGCACGCATCGTTTTGGCCATTATTGCGTTTTGGTTTATGTCCACGAACTATGTGATCGCCGGTTGGTGTTATATAATTAGTGCACTTCTGGATGCCGTCGATGGCCATGCCGCACGGGCCTTCAATCAGAGTGAGTCTACAAATTCCGCACATTTTCACATTTCACAGTATTCATCATCGGCGTTTGCCAAGCGCAAATCATCGACCAGCAGCCGGCCATGACTCACGATGCCGGCCAAAAGTACCGCTAATGCTGGCCATCTATGAAAATGTATTTATTTATGTGTTTGTGCACACATTGGGCACATACGTGTCCAGAATTTATAACGTATGATGCCATATTGTCTCGCAAACAGTGGCCGGTATTAACCGGCTTTGCACGTGCCAATTAGTTTCACAACAATTACAAATAGTTAATTTCGAATATTTTCCAACTTTTAATTGAATGTTTCACAATCAAACTTAAATGGCTTTGGCCTGTTTTCAGGCACACGCTTCGGCGCCATGCTGGACCAGTTGACGGATCGCTGCGGCACCACGGGTCTGCTGGTTACCCTGGCCTATTTCTATCCCAGCTACATGTTCTGGTTTCAGCTGTCGATCGCCATTGATGTCGCCTGCCATTGGCTCTATATGCAAACGTGAGTAGCTGCACTATTCCGGTTAGTTTGAATCTATTTCAAAACAATTTTCAGGAGCGTTGTGGTGGGACGAGTCTCGCACAAGGTGAATGATAACTTTGTGATGCGCATCTATTACCAGAAGGACGTGCTGACCTTTATGTGCTGCGTAAATGAGCTCTTCTACATTTGCCTGTATCTCTTGCATTTCACCTATGGACCTTTGAGTATGCACTGTCTAGATTATTTACACAAGATTTCAATTTGTTAAATCCTTGATTTCGTTTGCAGTCATCGGCGTATCGCTGTTCAAAATACTTGCCTTCCTTACCGGGCCCTTTGCGGTGCTAAAGGCCCTGATCTCTGTTATGCATGCCTATGTCGCTGGCGCTGATTTGGCTGCGGTGGATGTGCGTGAGCGCCAGGAGAAGCGCCAGAAGGCCGAGCCCATGGTTGCCGGCAAAAAGTTGGAGTAATAAAAACCAGAAGCAGGAGGAACAGATCAAATGAAACAAACTAAAGTACGAAGCAAAACAATTGATTCCAAATAACTAAAACAAAAACAACTAATTATATTCTAGTTTAATTTTAGTTATTAATTCGCTCTATTGCTATTTGTTGACTTTATTTTGTATTTTTAATTTAATATATATTTAATTTGGATGCGGGCGGGCGACACTTGTGTCAGCAGGTGATTTAAGCATTAAAATTATATTTATATATATGTATATATAAATATATTTATTTGCCTAAGTTAACATTAATTTTTTAATTTTGTCACGCTTAAACACATACGTGTAACACACACACACACACATATATATATATGTGTATATATATAAGCGAATTGCATGCTGCAAAAGTTGTTAATGGTTTAATTAGAATTGATGTCATCCATTTAATGTGTATTTGCATAATCTAACCAACTAACTCTGTATGTATTTAATGGTATACTTAAGTCGTAGCATACAATTGGTACCTTCCAAAAATAATGCAAGCCGTGACCTGGAAATGGAGCAAACTATGGTATATGTATGACTGCCATCGCATTTTCGAATTAGTCGAAACGCGTGGCGATATTAGTCAAAAAAATTTACAAACAAATATGAAAAATAGATACCAAAAAAAAAAAAAATTATAAATTCAATATTTAATAGATTGTCAGTGGTGAACATGAGTAATAAATAGTTTTTTGTGTGCAAAATTTCAAGTTCAGTTAATTGATCCATTTGTACAGAGTTGCAAGTAATTATTTTGAATTTGGCGCCACATCAATGCAAAGCAGCCAAAATAAGACAAGCGATATTGCAGCCCTGCTTAAAAAGCCACTAAGCAACGCACAGCTGACGCACAGTGCTGTGTAGCCCTGGTAAAACGAGCAACCTTCTCACACTGATTTGTTATTGTTATTAATTGCGAATTACATATATCCATATATTTGAAACATGTCGACAACGACGGCACAGCAGTCACCTATCCATTGACTTAGCCTAACCCAAGTGCAGCTCAGCCATCATGAAGATGGGAATGGGCTACACAGTACTCTCGCGATTGCGAACCCTAGCACGCTACACAATCGCCTACGCTTGTATAACCCATTGCACGTTTGAGTATGTGGGTGACTTTGTTTTGGTAAGTGGCCAGCTGTTGTTGTTGGTTTTATGTATTAAATTTGCATGTGTCTGTGTAAATTGTTATCGATAATCGATGCTTTCAGTGCAAAGGACCCTCCATGGAGCCAACGCTCTTCTCAGATAACGTGCTGCTGACGGAACGCCTATCCAAATACTGGCGTAAATATCAATCCGGCGATATTATTATTGCCGTTTCGCCGGTTAATGCCAGCCAGTATATATGCAAACGCATTGTGGCCGTGTCCGGTGAGAAGATAACGACACTTAAGCCACACCCTCTAGAGGCGGAATCAGCATCAAAACAGCCGAGCGAAATATCTATGGTTACGGATTATGTGCCGCATGGCTGTGTTTGGATCGAGGGCGATAATAAGAGCAATAGTTCGGATTCACGTTACTATGGGCCCATACCGCTTGGACTGATACGGAGTCGAGTCGTCTGTCGCATTTGGCCAATCTCGGAGCTAACGGGCCTGTAGTGCCAACGCAGTGCCACAAATTTATAGTTGTTAACTCCTTTTTTTTAATGTAAATTAACGACCAGTATAAATAAGCTGAAAACATCGTTGCCGTTAGCAAATTGACTGGCCCGTCCAGTGTTAGCCAATGAACCTAATTGGATATGAACGACCATGCGCAACACTGTTATCGATAAATGAAATAATTGATCGATATGTAGTTTGTCCTTGGGACATTTGACTAAAATTTAGCTACAGATTTACGCAGAGGGTATGTACAAATTAAAACTAGACACAGTTACACACAATTGCACTATTTTGTTGGCACTTCCTTGTCATCTTTCGCCTGATCAACGTAATACAGCTGGTACTCCTTCTTAAGCACCTGATGCGTCATATTGGTGCACGTAAAGTCCAGTCCGCGTTTCTGATAGTCCAGATAGGTGCGCACAAACAGGCGACTCGCCTCGAGCACCTGCGGATTACGCATATACTCATCCATTGGCATCCAGCAAACGCGCGCGATTTCGCGTTCGCAACGCTTCAGGTCCAGATTGAGCGGCTTCAGACCGATCACCACATAAATATCGGAACAGTCGAAATTGCCGCCATGCGAGTGTCGCAGGCAGACCATTGAACGGAATGTTGTCCGTATGCCCGTCTCCTCGACCACCTCACGTACCGCCGAATCGACTAGATTCTCGCGCGGCTCCACATAGCCGCCGGGCAACTTCCACATGTTCTTCGCTATCGCATATTTGTCGGAAACAACCAGCACCTCATTCTGATCGTTTATCACCAGGCCGCCGACGCCGAGCAGCGTGTGCGCATAGCTGGGCAGATTGCTCTGCTCGTGCGTGGGCAGCCAACGGTACATGGTGACCACACCTGTGCGCGCATGATGAAAATCGAAGCCAGCCCCAGCCAAAATGGGCACCCATTCGGCTTGCTCCTTGTAGACGCGAAACCAAATCGCACGATTCTTGTTTGCACGCCAAAAGTCCAAAGATTCTACAAAATAAAAAAAAACATATATTAAGCTATTTCATTTGATTAAATATGTTTTCGGTATTATTTACTGTGCAGCTTTTCGCAGAATTGCGATTTGTTAGCAATTTTCAGATCCTTGCAGTCGACCGTAACGCCCAGAAAACGATCCGTCACGCCACGAAAGACATCCGGCGGTGAGTCCATGCTCTTTGAACTGCAAATTAATTGATTGTACTATATATGCTAGTTAATTTGAATGCGTAATATGCACTTACGACTGATAAGCGCGCGCAACGTGCTTGACGAGTTGTCGCTGTGGCCAGGCGGAAGATCTGCTCCTGCTCCTGCTGCTGCTGTTGATGCTGTTGCTGTAATGTCTGTGCGTTATTGCTCCTGTTCCAATTGTAACTTTGCGCCATGCATTTAGCGCACTTAATAAACAACAATTACTTCGGCACAGCAATGCGACAGACGTCATTAAGTATGCAATTGAGCAATGTGACCAGGTGGCAAGAATGATGCTGGTGTTGCCTATGCAACCAATTGTAGCTGCAGCCTACAAATACAATTTTGTGAGAAAACAACAAACAAACAACAAAACAAACAACAAAAGCAAATCGAAATCTGAACACATTTGGAAAATTTAGTAGTATATATTATATGCGAAGCACATATATCACTCAACTATGCGAATTATTAGTTAACAGCGTACTTGCCTTAAAACGCAGCTCAAAGTCTTTGCAGAGAGACCATATTGTATTACTTGTAAAAAGTCTACTTTTAGGTGCGAGATCCCATAAACTTACACATATGCACTATAATGTTCGTCATTTACTGGCACAAAACTATCTGCCTGGCATTGATAAGCGCAACAGTTTAATGATCCGCCGCACGTCCGTCGTTTCCTTCGAAACTGGCGCATTGGCGTTTATACTCTGTTCTAAGCTAAATGTCAAATATAGTGGCAACCTTGAATGACAATGACTGTGTGTGTGTATGTGTGTGCATGTCGGCAATTGTTTCCGTATTTGCTCTGTGTTTTGTTGTTGTTTATCAGGCGTTATCAAAATATGCGAGTTTTATGTAACGCAAACACATACATACACACACTCGCATACGCACCTTTGTGCGCTCACACATGCACACACAATCACATTAATTGGCATAGTTCACGTATAAAGTTGTTTGCAGTTGACCTCACATTTTGTACTCTGAACGTTTATTTATTTACACTTACAATTTCGCGCCAGTTTCTTTTAGCGATACAAGGTTCACAGCTTTATACACAATGTGACCGTTCATGTCATACGTAAAAATATTTCTGAAATTTAGCAGTAATAAAGCCAATTTACCAAATGGCAAATAACAATGGCGCTTTCAATAAATATTATTTAAAAGATGGCTTATATTAATGATAATGACGATCAGAATCCATAATTGGCGAAATTCAGCGAAAAGAATTATTAATAATTCGTTACCGCGATCAATGCATAACGTATTAATTTTGTTTGCTCACTTGAATAACATTCACAATAGGAACGGATAGCGAGGACAACAAAATGCAAGGAGGTCACACTGATCTCTAGTGCTGCCCAGCACAACAGACACTATCTATTGCAGCTTAAGTTCGAACATTTCTTAAACGTGTTCCTTTTTTATAGTGAAATAAACAAAAACATATTTGATATGCACACATACTTCGTAAATATTCAATCATATAACAATTTGAACTATGGCATGTTTATGCATTCTTGCAGCAAGTTTCTACGCGCCATGTTTTTGAAGTGCCCAAAATCTGCGCATTTGGTATTTAAGGTACGCGATATGGTCACACTGATCTGCAGTGCGGCCCATTGCAGGCTGTAACGATAGACGCATCCATGCACCATTTATATATCGATAGATATAGATCGTTACATTTGTAGAGCGCGCGCTTTTATTTTGAATTTGAACTAAACGAATAATGATTTGTACATGTTGCTAGTTGTATATTTGCCTTGTTTACTTGTTTACGTATGACTTAAATATGCAAATAGATACAAATGTATATGGTTTGCATAGGCATAGGCATAGGCATTACGTGCTGGCGATTGCGTGACATTCAAATTTCAATTCCAATATCAACATATTTTTGCATTACATTTATAAATTCATTTCACTGCGTTACGACATGTACACACACACACATATATGTATATATACATATATATATATATATATATATTTTTAATATATACCCTGTATATGTTAGGAATATGTTTGTTTGCACCCAATTCGATCGGTCCTCGATTTATGTACTATGTAATGCAAGAATATGCCCCCAACACAAATATTGCACTCGGCTATTTCGAATTTCTATCCTGCGGCTCCTCGTCCAGCAAGAGCCACGGATGATTGATGGCCGCATAGGCGGATACACGGCGCAACGGATCGGTGCACAGCATCGGCATTAGGAACTCGGCAAATTCCGTGGCATCGTTGGCCGACCAATTGTAACGCTCCATTAGCACCTTGTTCAATGGATGCAGGTCCAGATTTTTGATATTCAACAGCTGTCCGTCGGCATCAAAGATTTCGGCAGAGTATTCGCCGCGTTCGATCAGCTCCTTGGGTATGGGACCGCAGGTCTCAATGATGTGCGCCACATGCACCTCATCCTGCGAGGCATCGCCGCGCCATTTGTTCGGCTCGAACAGATATTCACCGGTGGCCAGCTCCCAGAAGAGGCAGGCGGCGCTCCACAGATCCGCCGACGTATCATAGCCGGCGCCCAATATGACCTCAATGGCGCGATATTCGCGCGTCTGTATATCCTCGGTGACATGGTGATCGATGAAACAGGCATTGCCCACATCCGCAATGGCCACCTTCAGCTTGCACGGCTCCAGGGCGGGATCCGTGCGTTTGATTAGATTCAGATTCGGCTGCGCTGTCATCGCTTGCTGCTCCACCTTGGAGTGAGTGAAGCGTTGGGCGGCAGCCGGTTTCTTGGCCGGCTTTTTGATTTTGATGCGTTTGCTGCTCGAATGGAACGGTTCGTTGTCCTCCTTCTCCTCCCGCTCGATGCACTTCTGCACGTAGCGCATGAACTTCTCCGGGCTGCTGTTCAGCAGCTTCATCGCCTTCGAGCCCGCCTCCTGGCGACGCTCCCGGCCGCGCTTCTTGCCCGCCAGCTGCGATTGTGGCTCGCCGGGCGCCGCCTGCCGGAGCAGCAGAGCCGTATCGCCCACCTGTTCCGTAAACTGTTCGCTCAGCGCCTGCAGCTGCTGCAGCTCCGTGTCGTTGAGTATATTCGGTCCGTCGTAGGCGAGAAAGGGCAGCTGATTGGTGACTGCATCCACGGCCATTTTGGTGGTGAGCAGACCGTGCCGGGCCAGCTGCAGTAGATCTGTGATGCCGCGTTCCCGCAGCCATTTGCGATGCGACTGAAAGAAGCTGATGCTCTGCTTGGTCTTGGTGCGCAGCCGGCGTCTGGCCGTTTTGCTTAGCTTGGCCTCCGGATCCAGCACCAGCTGCTGGACATGCTCCTGCAGATACTTCTTGGACGCCTCGACCGCCTGGCTGCGCAGCGCCACATCGTCCGCCACCAGCAGCACATTCTCCGGCTTCAGATCCGTATGTATGAGATTGCCCTGATCGTGCAGCAGGTACAGACCCTGAAGCACCTGGTAGGCGATCTGCTTGACATTGTACAGCGGCAGACCCTGATAGCCGCTGCGCTGGATCAGCATTAGCATATTGTCACCGAGCACATCGAAGACCAGACACTGATGCGTGCCATTAACGCCGCTTGTGCTGAAGTTGTCCGTCAGATTGACGACACGATCCCGCAGAGGATGCCAGCTTAGCTGGGCGATGTGCCGCAGCAGCCGGATCTCGTGCCGTGCCGATTCCGCATAGAGCACCGCCGACTTGACCAGCTTGACGGCGCAATAGCGATTCCTTTGCGTATCATAGCACAGCCACACGGTCGAATAATGACCCCAGCCCAGTTTGCTGATCGCAAAATAACGCTGATGGAATGCGTCGCCCACGTTCACCGGATGATAGCCGCCGGGTCGATAATCGCTGGGGCTTTCGTTTGCGTACGTATAGGGCGTGGTGGGCGTGGTCTCGTCGTCATCGTCATCATCCTCATCCTCATCGTCGTCCACATCCTCCTCGTCGTCGCCGTCGCCGTCGTCGTCGTCGTCGTCGTTGTCATCCTGCTCGTCGTCGACCTCGGCCACCACAATTACCGCATCCTGCTGCTCCCGCTGCTGTTCCAGCCGGTGCGTTAGCTGATTCTCCGATCTGCTGCGATAGACGCCATATTTATAGCTCGGCTCCGGCAGCTCCACATCCTTCTCGCAGTTCATTCTATTGTTAGTTTGTGTCAGCTCCAGCATGACCAGATCTTCCGCATGCTCCGCGACATTCAGCATGGGCAGCTTGTTGGGGCAGCCAGAGCTGGATGCGGACGTGCAGGAGATGAAGCTGGCGATCGCTGTTCCTGCTCCTGCTCCGGCTTCGGCTCCTCCGCCTGCCGATGCTGCTCCTGCTCCTGCTCCGGCTCCTCCGCCTGCTTCTCTGCCTGCTCCTGCTCCTGCTCCTGCTGCTGCTGCTTCTTCTTCTTCGTCGTCGTCGTCGTCGTTGTCGTTGTCGTCTTCTTCTTCGTTGGAGCTGGACTTGTGCGACATCGTTTCAGCACTCCGTGTTGCTCTTGTTGCTGTTGTTGTTGTTGTTGTTGTTGTTGATGTTACTATAAAAATGGGAATTTTGATTAGTTCTCGAGTCTAGTTTTGCATGATTCGTTTTTTTTGTTTTTTTTTTTATATTTTCTTTCGATTTTCTCTATATACTTCTGGTATTTGGTTTTCAATATTTTCGGTCTACGTACGGTACAAATTTTTTTTCGTATTATTTTGTTCAAAAATATATATATCTGGTTTGGAAATTTGATGTGCGTGTTGTATATATAATATACATGCTAGAATTTTAACGGAGTACTAAACCAATTCCAACATTTCCCCATTGACATTGAGGCATTTAATCAAACGAATCGCCTGCTGCGATCCCAAAGTTATTCCAAATTCAAATAGTTTTTACCACGCCGAACTAGTTCCAGTTCCGGTACGAATCACTTTTTTTTGCTTGAGTTGGTTTTTATTTTCATTTTCAAGAGTCGATCCCAAAGATATTCCAAATTCAAATAGTTTTTACCAAGCCGAACTAGTTCCAGTTCCGGTACGAATCACTTTTTTTTGGCTTGAGTTGGTTTTCATTTTCATTTTTAAGAGTCGATCCCAAAGTCATTCCAAATGCCACAAGGTTTCACCAATCCGAACTAGTTCCAGTTCCGGAACTTGGCTTTATTTCGAGGCATCACTAACTATTGCTTAAGATATTTTGGTTAATAATATGTATTTAATTATCATTTTCAAGAGTCGAACCCAAAGTAATACCAAAGCCGAGCTAGTTCCAGTTCCGGAACTTGGCTTTATTTCGAGCCAAATCAGTTTTATTGCGTTGGTTTAGTTAATAATATTTATTTAATTATCATTTTCAAAAGTTGAACCAATTTGAACCAGAAACTCTCTTTGTATTGAGTATGAACCGAAACTGGAACCTGTTAGAGCTGAACCTAAGCCGGAACCGAATGACTTTGGTTCAAAAAATGATTTGGCTTAAAAAAACGTATAATTTTCAAATACTTTTAAAGGTATGCGACAGCTTAACTAAAAACGAGACGTTAAATCGGTTTTGTTCTGAACCGGTTCAAAGCATAAATATTGTTTAACACGAACTGAATCCAATAGAAAAAATTCAACCGGAACCAAACGTTTTAGACAAAAAAAGAAGTTCTT